TTAATACCTTTCTGTTTTTTCTGGCAAGGTTCACAAAGGTGGATGTACAGTTCAATATCATGACGTGTAACATTTTTGTATTTGATTGAAAGTTCTTTCAACATTCTATCACGTCCTCCGTGTCCAATAGCCAAATGAGCTTCATGAAGTACGTGAAATAACTCTGAGTCCGTGACGTAATACTGTATAGTACTGACGCCTTCTTTAACAGGATAAATGAGTTTACTTTTGTTTTCTACAATCATCACATCATAGCGATTCAGCAACCAATAGTCCCTGGGTTCCTTCTTAGTAGTCATTTTGGCTTTTTGTACATCATTTATTAACTTCTGGTAAGTAGTTTCGGTTAAGAAAATACTGTTTTTTGCAGCATTAACTCGAATTTTGCACAGTTCATCGTCGAATCGTTGTTTCATGTCTATAGACCATGACACCTTCTCCAACACTACAGCTTGCTCCTCCATTTTCATGGACCACAGTAAAAAACTAATTTTTTGTTGAACAAATTTAAGTAAAATTGCGTATTTTGACACTCCCGAACAAACCGCAAAGTGCAACTGACAAATTCTAAGCCTGAGCCGCTCGTTAAAAGTCACGTGCCTTGCCACGTGATATTTGAAACGAAACGGAGATGTATTTCATACTTTGCCGGTTTCTCATTTGGCATTCTATAGAATGCCTAGGAAATCTGTAAAATATAAATCGTTTCATAGATTGCCGGCTAGTTTTAGGCATTATATACAATGCCTAGGCATTCTATAGAATGCCGGATTTCAAACTTTGCCGGTAACATTGATATTACATTTTAAAGATTTAAAATAATTGTAGAATTTTAAAACAAATATTTAAAAAAGTAAATAAAATTTTAAAAATTTAATTTTTAAAATAATTTTCTTTAAAAGTGTTTATCACGTTAGGTGTCGCCATATTCACTGAGTATTCGAACCCATATCGCCATATTGGATCGTCTTGTTCGGTTATAAAGCAGGAATTGTAATTGTTTTATATCCATAATTCTTTATATATAAATATATAAAGGCATTAAATAATATGTACAGTACAATACGTTAATTTTTAATTATAAGTTAATTACTTTTATGAATAATTGTAGATAATGGCAGAGATGAACGAAGAGGAAGAAAGAGTAAATGTTACATTTAATAAATTATTAATATAAAATTCTTTAATTTACTGCAGAAAAGTGTAATAATATTTATTGGTTTTAAATTCCAGAACAGTTTTGCTTTGCTTCTGCATAATTATGACAAGGATCAGATCATAAGTAAAATGGATGAATTGTGCAAAGAGTTAAAGTATATTAATGAGAATCTTATGAAATACAGAGGTAATTTACCAATAATTTTAATTTATTATTGCATATTTTATAAAGTTTGCTGTGTGAGGAAGCTTTTTTATGTACAAGATGGCTGTAATTTTAAGCTGTTTTCAAGAATCTTTATAATAACTTTCACTTTATACATATTTTATACACTCATTGCATAAAAATTAGCGCATCAAGAAGTTGTCGGAATCGAACAAAATTGTACAGGTGAGTGTAACGGTGATATAAGTAAGTGATTACAAAATGAAAATAAAAGGATAATTTATTGAAGGAAAAACTGCAAATGAAAGCAGGTTCTAGTACCCTGTTGGGCCAACTCTAGCGTGAATACAGGATGTGAGGGCGGGCATGGAGACATACAGGGGCCGTATGGTGTTCTTCAGCATCTCTGTCCACCAGCTGCTGCAAGCGGTTTTCTAGTTCGGCCAAACTTCTAGGCTGTCCAACTTGGCATCCCAGGTGATCCCAGACGTGTTCGATCGGTGACACATCAAATGATCGGACAGGTCGGGAAAGTGTGACAATTTGGTGGGAGCAGTCCTGTGACACCTTTGCTGTGTATGATCAAGCATTGTCCTGTTGGAAATGGCTCTTGGGAGCCCTGCCGTGACTGCAGATGCCACTAGCATACTAATGGGCTGTCATGATCCTTTGGATCACTATTAGAGGTGACTGGTTGTTGTATGTGATGGCACCCCAGACCATCACACCAGCTGTGGAGACGGTGTGCCGCTCGAAAGCGTAGGCAGAATAGAGGTGTTCACCATGGAACCTGCAGACACGAACACGGCCATCGTCAGTGCCCAAACTGAATCTGGATTCGTCGATGTAGACGAGCCATTTCCATCCCGTTGCAGTCCAATCCCGTCAGGAGCAACAGCATTCCAAACGGAGGCGACGGTGGGAGATGTCAATGGCAGCACACGTAATGGCTGCTGCGATGCCAAATGCTTTTCATCTAGGCATCTCGAAACGGTACGGACAGACATATGGGTCTGTGATGATTGCGCCACTTGTGTCTGAATGGCGGAAAACGATACGGTCGGCTGTGTGCGTGCTTCTCTGAGGATCAGCGGTCCTCTCAGGCTAGTGGTCTCCCAAGAGCGTCTTGAGCTGGGCGCCATGTGTGCTAACTTTCTCTCATCCGCCAGTCATCAGCCAGGACAACACCTCCTCAGTGTTGTCAGAATGGCCTAGCTGGCAGGCTATTCGGCGAGATAACCATCTGGCTTCTGTTAACCTGATGATCCTCTCAAACTCAGTTGTTCATGTGGCCTTCAAGACATCTAGTGATACAGCGTTCTTCTGCAACAGGTAAACTACAGACAGGATGCCTTTCCGTGCTTTTTTCATAGGCCAAGGGAGACTCATTTTAACGCCTTCTGCTGACATTACATCATGAGCCATCATGGCGTAATGCCCTCTGCTGGCATTACGCCGTGATGGCTCATGGCAAAACTCTAATTATTTCCACATCTATTTGAGACTTATCTGCATGCCAAGTTTCGCAGCGATAGAACTCCTTCTTGGTGCGCTAATTTTTATGACAATGAATGTATTTCAGAAGCACCTATAATACATTACAAATAGGGGAGACTGGGGCAAGATCGGCATGTTAAGCTTTACTTAAATTTTGTGTAATAAATACTGCTGTAAACTGAAAAAAAAGCTTTGCATATTGTCTATTGGAATGTTACCTTACTATAGAACTGGTTAAAATCAGTTTGGAAATAAAAATAATTAAAATAATTACAACTTTACAAGAAGAGAGAAATTGACGAAGTTGCCCCGGGTATAGGGGCAAGATCGGCAACTTCTCTCTTTTTGTAAAGTTGTAATTATTTTAATTATTTTTATTAAAGTTGCCCCTGGTATAGGGGCAACAGTAATGGGGCAAGATAGGCACGTATATAAAATTATGTTATTAACAATGTATAAGTTGGAATTCACTATTAAAACAAAGAAATACAAATCCAACACCCATTTAATATTATTACAACGAAATGCAAGTTCAAAGACATATATACATGAATAACAAATGCAAACATGTTTTCATTTATCATCTGTTTGATTTTTATCCTTTGCTTCTAATGTGGCTTTATGTTGCCGATCTTACCCCGCTAGTCATGATTTCGAAACATTAAGTACAACCCTGAGAACAGAATGCCAAGCCACGATCTGGCCACGTGAATAAGTTGAAGTTACATCCTTCTAACAGGAAAAGTAACTTTCGTTATCATGGAATTATAACAAAACCTGCCAATTCAATATAAATAAAAGCAAAATATTATATGGAATTGAACGAAAATGAAAATTTGCTTGATAATTCAACTACGCTTGTTGGAGAACAATAAAAACACTACACTCAACAAGCCACCAATAAAACTCAACTGCCTAACCTATAACCAAAGTCTCCTTTTAATTTGTTTTTAAAAAAAAGCGGTTGACAAACTTGCCCTGCATGCCGAAGTTGCCCCGATCTCCCCTAATCAACAATGAATATGAAATGAAGATGTTTTTCTTAAAGAGCGTGCCACTTTTTCTTTTCCACTCTTCTGGTTTTACGTTAAATTCCTCAAATAAAAAATTCAATGCTCATTCTTAAAATAACTTTTCCCTCTTCATTTTTTTGACTCTCATCCGAGGCACCAAGTGGGACTTTCTACTCATACCCATAATAGATATGATTGGAAAAACTCTCTTGGTCAAGCAGGATCAGCCGAGTGATAAAGGACTGTGCTGACTTATTAAGCAGATTGCCCTGAAAAATTCCTATGTTTGCCTGGATTCGAACTTGGGTTCCCCAGAGAGATAGGTTTAGCCAGAATGGACTCAGAATATTGCCTTTGATAGCCTAATAGCGATCAAAGGCAATATTCTCGTAATGTCTATACGTTTAATCGTATAATACGTGACAAAATTAGCATTGAGACATAATTTTTATTTCGAAGAATCTCCTCGAAAATTCGGGATAATCATTTTGTTTTCCGTATTTTGAAAATTTTCCATCGTTATTTACAATCACAGATATATCCTGCATATATTTTAGTACATTTTTTGTGATAAATGTATTAAAGAATCAAATTTTAACGTGTTTTATATTAGGATTTTTAACTAGATGCTATTAAACATTTAAAAAAGTTAACTGATAAAAATTACGACGACAATTTAGTTTATATTTCTAGTTACTAAACTATTTTTATAAACAGAATTTCGACATTAAAATGCGTTATAAATTACATGTCATTTATCACTTGTATTATCTACGCTATTATTTTTCAATAAGATAAATTCTTTCATGCAATAAATTAATATATTTATAATATATGAATTAAGAACATATTAAACATCACAGCTAGGATAAAAATCTATTTTATTTAATATGTTTTTAGAAAAATTAAATCTAATATGAAGGTAATATAATTTACGAATAAATTTTGTAAAAGATGACTTTTTATTCCAAAAAAATGTATTAAAATCTATGTATTTTCAGTCGAATGTGCATTGTTAAATGTGGAATTAGCAACAAAGATAGATCCACCCATACTCAAAGAAAAGATAACTCTGGCTCAAGAAATGTTTAAAGGTTTAGAAGAACTTATTAATCAAGAATATGAAAAAGCTGTAAAATGAAGTAAATACATATTTTATGTTCAAGTTTCTTCATTTAAAATATTATAAATGATTAATAGTATTTACTTGTATTTATATTACTTTAAATAATTTTAATATCACTCCAAAACATAGATGTCTAAGTAAGAAATTCCAGATTTCAATTTTATTGTGTTATCTATGTATTGGCCACGATAACATGAGTAAATAAATTCTTATCGTAAAAAAACTGATAACAATCCGGATTTTGAGCTTTTATGACAGAGAGAGTGACATTGCAGTAAGAAACATGAAACTAATTTTAATTCTGTTTTTAATTAATTTGGTTTGTTGTAAAGTTAAAAAGTGTAGTTTTTGTGAAGGAATTCACTGCAAATGCCATAGAAATTTAATTACTTGCAGTGATTGGAGTAATATGGATGAAATTGAAGAACATATAACGTCTTCAGATAATTCAGCTTGTGATGAATATGGGACTTTTAATTTAACGACATCCCATCTTCCAGCACTTCCAGAGCATATTTTCAAGAATACCAGATTCAATACAATCGAATTTTCTGGCGTGAGTTTACCATTTCTCGGTCCTCCTTTAAGCAAAGAGTCACCCTTTTCAGGTTTAGAACGTAGTTTTGGAGAATTCAAAATGGAAAATGTATTATATTTATATAATTGGGATTGGGCTTTGCTCTCGAATTTTAGTTATCTAACCAGACTGACAGTGACAAAAAGCAAAGTTTTGCGTATCAATAAGAGTTTCTCTTCGATTTCTAACAGTTTAACAAAAATCGAATTGAGGGAATGCCAAATTAAACGTATAGATGATGGATCGTTTAAATCTTTCAACAGACTGGAGCAGTTGTATCTAAACAAAAATCAATTGACATCATTTAAAAGATCTCATTTACCTGATCCAGCCGGACATTTGACTTTAATAGATATCAGGTAGGTTGAACTTTTTGAATTATTTATAAAATTAAAAACTTAATTTAAATCAATTAATGACGTTGACAGGTTTTCTTTTTTAAATGCATTTAATTGGTTCACTCATTGAAATTTTCTCTACTTATTAATCGCTTTTCAGAAAACATGAGTAAAAAGATTAAATTTCATACAAAAAAAAAAAAACAGAAATTATTTAGAAAAATGGAAATAAAGTATTCTTTAGGTAAAACCAGGGCTGTGGAGTCGCGTAAAAATCTACCGACTCCGACTCCGACTTTTCCCAGTGGCGTACCGTAGGGGGGGGATGGTAGAGGCGGAAAAATTTCACAATAAATAATAATAATATCTTGTAAAATTTTGAAACATCCTAATCTATACTTGCATCGCGCCTATGATAGTGCTATCGTTCGGACAGTCCGGGAATCGGCTCGCCGGGTGAACTAGTAACTTTTTCATCCGAGGAGTTCCTGCGAAACCTGTTGACCTTGTTTTTTTTTTTTTTTGCTTGTACGATTCATTCGCGTTCATATACACCACTAATATCCAATAGAACTATTTTAAACAGGTCGCTGCACTACCACCGAATTTTTCATTGCATGTTCTGTGAGAAAACTGAATTTTGGTCTTTTAAATTGAAATACCCAAAAAAGGGGGGCGAAATTTTCCTCCGCCCCGGGCGGCTGACACCCACGGTACGTCACTGATGTTTCTTTACCATCCGACTCCGACTAGGGCAGACTTGTTAACGAAAGAGACCCGGAAATTCTGATGTCATCACGTAACCTCAGAATAAAATATTCAATAGAGTTGTAATAAAGATAGAGCGTAGAAACTTTTTATTCCAAAGCTAAAAGACTTCTCTAAATAATATATAAATATGTATTCGATAATTTTTACTTTTCCGGCTGTTATATATAACAGAAGGAAAGTGTAGCGCTCGGTCAAAAAATGACCTATCCCAAATTTTTACATTTTTGGACTCGGGACATTTCGAAATTTCAAGATATGCAAAAGATTCGAGGTTTTTTCATATATGTGNTTTACATTTTTGGACTCGGTACACCTCGAAATTTCGAGATATGCAAAATATTCGAGGTTTTTTCTATATGTGTGGATGTTAGACTGTGTGGGGGGCATGATTTCGTTCACCCTGTTTGAAGCCTAATAATTTCTGTGGTCAGAGTGGTCAGAATACGAGTCAGATGGTTTAACACAGGAGTTAGTTATTTAAGTCAAAGTGGTTGAACTAAAGCATGTCCCCATATACATTCTAACATCTTAGGCGAGAACATCTTAACGGGTTTTACTGTACTATTATAAAATGGCAAAAAAGCTTACTTTGAGGGTAAAGACGAGTTTTATTTTATTTTTTTAAATTTTGAACGCTAATAACGAGTAAAATATTCATTAAGAGATATGACACATGACCCCTTTTATGTCTTCACCCTGTCGACCTTTAATTAAGAACCAAAATTTAATAGTATTAATGCCCCTTTATACGCAAGCTATAGCGCCACATTTCGTTTCTTAAACTTCCCGTTCTGAGATGTTGTTTAATATCTCAGAACAGAAAATAAAGAAATTAAACAAATTAGACGCCAACACACGCGCGCGCGAATTTTTTCCCTTTATTGACTTTTTTGAGGGGTTCGGGAGGTCTCCAAACGTGTAGATTTGTAAAAAAAAAAACTTGGAGGGTCAAATTTGACACGATTCCAATACTTTTCCGTTTTATACACATAACAAGTTGGTAAGTAAAAAGGAATCGGAGTTGGCGGATTTTTTGACGACTCCGACTCCGACTCCGGCTAAAACATCAAAACTCCACGACTCCGACTCCACAGACCTGGGTAAAACACATAATGAAATTACGAATAATTGTAGGTAAAATACATAAAAAACAAAAAAATGCTTAACGTTGAATAACAAATGAAGAGTATTGGAATATGAAATATCGATCATTACGCCTAAATATTTAATAACATTCATTGCATCATATTTTTCAGCAGAATGCTGGAAATTAAGGTTGATACTAATAAAAGTATTTCCATTTTGTCTAATTCTTTCATCTCTCCTCTTATACTCTTCCAATAAACTCCTCTCTCCCGCTCTTTGGATCACTTCTTCCATCTCCTTGGCCTTCCTTTTAGTATTTTTCCATGAATCTTTCACCCTCTGCACATTCCCATTCACCCATTTTTCCCTCCATCCCTGGCCAAACCATTTCGTTCGTTTCTTTTCAACAATACACTCTTTCTCCTCTTATTCATAAATCCTTTAGGGATTACACTGTAAAACATTCTTATTGTGTCTTTGCAGATTTAATTTTGTTATTTATAATATTCTTTTCTTACATTAAATATCCGGACTAACAAGAGCCTTATGTATGAAACATTTATCGTCTGATGAAATCATGGAATTGGTAAATGATGTGAAATGATTGGTGACTGAAATCTAACCATTAATAATTAATTAAACATTTCTACCAATCACATAGTGTTGCGTAGTAAAAAAAGGCACCCATAAGTTTGCAGGTAGATGTAGATTGTGTGTAGGGTTTCTTTCCCGGGATCCCGGGATCCCGTTTTCCCGGGATTCTCGCCGTTTATTCCCTACGAGAAAAATCCCGGGAAATTTTATTTTCCCGGGAAATCTCGCATTTCAATAATAATTTACCATGTCAGGTTTTCTTTCTATTATTTATTATACGAAAAGTTGCATCTTGAAGACTTACCTAAGAGAGAAATTTTGAGGTTTCTTGCTGCATATTACTACCTATGTTTTACAAGTCTCTACTTCTTAGTTCATGTAATATCTATGTATTGTGTTTGCGCACCATTGAACAGCGGAGCACTGGCTGAAAATAAATATCACTCATCGCACTTTATTTTTTATTTCATCTTTAGAAGTAAAATAGTATTTTTTTTCGTAATCATTAAAAAATCCCAATGAAACGCTTTATTTTACTTTCATCTTATAATGTAGGAGAACATAAATTAATTGAGCCTAACGTGTCCATATGGGTGAGATTGGCCCTACACTTTTAGTTACTTACTAGAAAATAAATTAAATTATTCAAATTTATGATATTCCTGTATGATCTTTTTTATTCATATAAAATTCTATTTTACTGTCTCATCCCGGAATTTCCCGGGATCCCGGGAAAAGAAATTATTTTTCTCGTAATCCCGCTGGAGGCAAATTTCCCGGGAAATGAGAAACCCTAATTGTGTGGGAGTAGTCATCTACACTGAGGCCTGAAAGTCTCCTAAGTTTTGCGGATACTACGAGATGTTGGCAGAAATTGTTTACAATATGGCGGAAGGCTCAGATAATAAAGATTTAATTTTTATTTATTCACGCTTTAATGAAGATAATTTTTGTAATTATAGTTTTTCATAAAAATTATATACGTACGATCAAGTAGTAGTAGATCGAAGATATTTTCAGTTTTTGCTTTTTGCTTGTTCTGTTCTGTTGGCACTAAGAGGGCCTTTTTTCCATAGATTCGGCCAGGCCCTCAATAGAGATGGCAATTGATGTGGGACGGGACCGGACAACCTGGAATTTTTCATTGGCTCATGAAAAATTCGTGGGGAGTTGTTTGCATGGATTCGATTCCGGGGCCCCATAGCGATAGGCTGATACCTTAGTTACCTCGGCCATCAAGTTATTTTTGATTAGGGTATTTATTCACAATTTCAATATTTCTATATAGATTTTATTTCTACTGTCCATTCATTTTTCTAGTTATTCTATAAAATCCATTCATTTTTCTAGTTATGAATTTTGATCGCCCAACCGTCTTTTCTTGCATGCTGAACTTATTGTAAACAAAAATTAGAAATATATTTTCTAATTGAACGAAAGCCTTCTTTGTTTAAATATCATAATATTAGAGATGCAATCAATTTAATGGAACATTTAACTAGATAATGACGTCAAAACTATTAATTTAACTAAGTCTATAATGGGCATGGCTTTCTAGTATACAAGCAATTTCATCCCCTAGATAAGAAAGATTGTTTAAATATCGAAATGAGCATCTAGTTTACTAAGTGTCAATATTATCCTCGAACACATCCGGATAAGTTGGGAAATGGCTTTTACACATCCCGGATAAAATTTGGTAGTACAGTATAGCATCGATTATCCGACCCCCGATTAACCGTCACATCGGCTAACCGACCGTTCTAGTCAGCAAATTTCAAATGTCCGCTAGTGATGTGGCGCTACAATATTTGGCTATATCTTGGCTACTTTAATATTATTTTTGTTAAATATTTGCGTGTTTTAAATGGCAACATCTACTCGACCATTGAAGGGAGGCCAGTATTTAAACAAGACTTAATTTTCTAATTATGAGGAGTTGTTTGCTTCGTGAGCAATAAAATAATTTAAAAATAATTTTTAACGATACAATAGCGACGATTATTATTTTAAAAAAAAATTTGTTAGGCTAAACATCGATGAAAATTCAACGCGAAGTTGGTTAATTAATAGCGATATATTAATATACAAATTACATGGAATATACTAATATACTATACTAATAATGTATTTTTTTCATTATTTTCGGTTATCCGACTTTTTCAGTTATCCGACCAACCTGAGTCCCCAATTGAGTCGGATAATCGATGCTCTACTGTAGTTTGGTTGGATACGCCAACTCAAGACATGAGCAATCTAGTAAGAGAGATGCTCCCGGGAGGACTTTTTATAGAAAACTGGCCTCTATTTAGGTGTTACAAACGCAAAGAAAACTCTACGTGGCCAGCTCGTTGATGAAGCATGAACCCGCAACCGACGACCAGCGTTGAGTAGTTTTATCCACTCAGTCACTAATGGGTTATTAATTTATATACGTAAAGTGTTCGTGTAAAAGCAGAATTTATCGGTTAAATAGCAAAATAGAACAAGAAGGAAACAATAACAATATAATTCCAGGATATTTTGGAGAAAATAGAAAAGCTTTGTCAATTCCTGATTGATACATGGTGTTATTTATTATTTTACATTTAAACCTTAGAAATGTGATTTAGTAATTTCAATGTTATGTTTTTTAGTCTGTTTGTTAGTATTTTTGCATATACTGTATTTTCTATCCAGTATTTAGGAGGCAGATGCCTCTGTAATTATTAATCTGATTTGCTTCCTTTTTTATAAATAGGAATCACTGAAGCTATTCCAATCGTGCGGACATTCCTCTCTTGTTCATATCATATTAAAGAGGATGAGAATCTGCGTACTGGATGAACTCTAATTTTAATCTAGCTCCACTAGGGACTTTCCCTGGTGAAGCTGTTATGTTACTATGGAAGTTCGAATATATTAATTAAGCTCCATTAAAACTTACAAACGAAATAAAAATTTTAAAAATAATATTAAACTACTGTATATACTAATATAAATTATACAACTATTTTGTATTTCGACAGTGATAATTTTCTAGAAATGTTGCCAGAAAATCTTTTTGAAGGAATGGATAAATTAGAACATGTTTCCTTTGTGAATAACAGATTAAAATTCATACCCAATGCCATAATAAATCATAACTTGAGAAAATTGCTTTTAGAGGGTGAGTTATCAGATAACAAACAAGGAATAACGGAATTATTTATTATATTCAAAAAATTAACATATTTAATACAGTAAAAAAATTATTTGTTTTTTCAGGTAACCCTTTAGAATGCAATTGTGACTTACTACTTCTGTGCAGAAGATATTTGAGAGATGTACTTTGCAATTCAAAATTACCGCAACTCGTGAATATTTGTACTAATGAAAATAAGAAGAAATTTAATTGCACGTAATATTTCTTATGTGTTATGTAATGGAAAGGTGCTTTTTATAAATCTTTGCCTTCAAAATATGACAAAATATCATCTATTATAGTGAGGACTCTGTTAAAATGGATTTGAACTTGTTAATTTTGTATGGACACTTGAAAATGTGCGGTACATGTAATAAAATAATACACCAAATACAATTTCTCTGATTCTGAAATACTGTATATTGTTATATTAGAAATAAAAATCTTGGCGTGAAAATGGTGAAACCAGAATTTCGTGCCAAGTAGATGTAAAAGTTAAATATTTTGAATTAAAATACTCAAATCGATCATCACCGTGATAAATACCAAATTAATAAAACGTCTGATCTTACTAAAACTTGTAATCCAAGCCAGCACTACTTATTGAAGATTGGATTGATGGAATAGGCAACACTTCGGTGGTCCGCCAAAGGAGGAGCAAATTTCTATAGTGAAACTGGTATGTATTTAGGTGTTAGAACGCGAAGAAAACATGAAAAACTCCACGGTCAGCACTTTGGTGAGACACGAAGTACCAGTGTTCAGTGGTTTTATCCACTTGACCATTGGTAGGCAGTATTAAAATGAGCCATAAACTATTTAAGTACTGGTAGGCAGTATTTAAGTTGGAAAATAATACTTTTGCCATCAGAAGAAAATTCAAAATATTGAAATTATTCGTAATAAAATTGAATGATTACATTTATGATAAAAAGATCACGGCTTTGCGTATTCTGGTACAGCAACTAAATTATCAAGAATTGTCTACATTGTATCTTATTATCTAGAACAACGATTCGGAATATTTTGTAATAGAAGGCAACATCTCATTTCACAGGAATTTTATAAGCCCGCATGTCGTAAAGTAGATGGTATAACTGCATACATTTGATTTCCAAATTATTATGGACGCTGGCAAATTTGCATTTATTCGTCTTTTACATTCATTGCATCGTCTTTTACATTCGTATCTATTTTGTACTATTTAAATCTCATTTTATATTAAATTCTAAGGAATTTTACACACTTGACAACACTGACATGATATACTTAATTATAGAAGCTAAAACAATTGTTACTTGTCATTTTCACTTGTCTACCTACAAATAGGTGTCAAAATTGAGCTATTTTGCAACGTTTTTGTCTAGTAAAAATAAGTTAACATCATTTAAGATTTTGTTATTGTAATTTTTTTAATATAGTTTTGAGCATTATTTTTAACATGGGAAAAGGGCGATAAATATATATTTTCTCGTAGCTTTGCTAGTGTTAATTGTTAAATATATGTACAGTTCTGATACATTAATACAAAAAGTACCTTGTAAAAAAAATGCATGTGTAGTTTTTCAGGCTTATCAAAACAAACCTGAAGTTCAAAGATAAGTAACCTTTGCAAGTGTCCATATTAATTTAGCAATTGGCCCTACATTCAGGCTTACCAATGGTCGAGTCTATAAAACCAGTGAACATTGGTCGTGGGTTCGAGCCTGGCCAACGGGCTTGTCACGTGAAGTTTTCCGGGTTTCCTTCACATTTGTAACACCTAAATAGGAGCCAGTTTCCCATATAAAAAATCTCCCGGGAGTCATTCCCCCGCGGCAAATCGCTCATGTGTCGTGCTGCCATATACGAATATACCACTACATTCAGTATACATGCACGAAAAATATACATAAATTATATTTAGATCACTGTCTTTATCGAATAAACAACATAAAAGGTCATTTTATAACTCAAAATTCGTGACAGCAAAATTAAACGTATACTATTTTAAATTTTATTGCCACACTAAATCGTGAAAGCTACATATGATCTGAAAGCCAAAGGTTTTCTCTTTCTTTCTTTGATCTAATTATGTAAGTTACATGCATAACACAGAACGTTATGTCATAACAGAAGGTAATGTCATAACACTTTACAAGTTTAATTTTAGTATCGAAATCTACATGAAATGCCCCAATGATCGCTTGGAAAACAACCATTTACAAATAATCATTTCTGACCGATTAAACGAAAATATTTCGGTTGGATCTTGATTTGTGACGATTGTCTGACGTAAACGCGATCAAACCTGAATCGAGGTTTTATGCGGGCGCACGAACGACTTTTTATATTGTCATTTATGTTCAGATCCCAGGTATATTCCCATTTTCTCTGACTACCACAAAACACCCACACGTCATCTAATTCAACAGGGATGTTGCAACCAGGTAATTCTGAATCCCTAAGATTGAGATCACCCGCAAGTATGACTGTATTTTCATTGGGAACTTTTAACACTTTCTCAACTGCCAATCTCAGTTGTCGGACCCTTTCACGTGACTTTTCTCTCATGCTTTCTAGATGTGTGTTGAATAATGTAAAGGGAATTTTTCCAATTTTAACATCTACCCGAAACAAATTTCTTCCCATTTGAGAATATTGGTACTAGTGTATGCTATGATTTACATACGAAACGGTATTCTTTTTCAAAAGAGTAACTATGAAATAATCGTCTGTATTAGCCGGAATGCATTCATGTTCGGGCAAATGTTTAAATTAATTATTTCTTCTAAAGTTTCCGAAATAATTTCCTGTAAAAATACAATATCGCAATATCGACATCTTCAAATTTTATTATTCTGCAAACTTTTCTTATTCTGGAACAGCAATATTTTTCATCCAATCCGACGCAATTCCAAGTTATGAATTTCAACAAATGATGGATCGAATATTTCTTGCAACTTGTACTTGCAAGATCCATTGGCATTAAATGATTTCGAACAATCCGGTGTAGTTATTATTGCAATTCTGTTTGCTTTCTCCTGCAAATTCTTGAAAGCAATCAGGATTTTTTTCACTGATACTCGCATGAGTCGATATCGAATCTGTTATTTCTTCAACTTGCTTACAAAGTTCTTGACAAGTATCCGAATCAAGTTTACTTTCATCAGATTCTTTACTCATGGTAAATTGATTAGAAGATAAACTTTAAAAAGAAAATACAACTCAATATTAAATGAATTTACTAAAATCACTTCGAGAAACTATTGTAAATTTTTTAAAAAATTAATTATTAATTAAATAGTTTCTTACGAAGGTATTAATTTCATTTAAATTTCAACAACAAAACTATTTAATGCATTGTACTTTCAAAACATTTAAATAGTTTAAATTAATATTATTAAAATTGCAGCAACCACAAATTTCAATAAAATAAAGTTACCTAATGCATCGTAACGTATTATATACATATTTATTATAATCTTCAATATAAAGTAGATTCACATTATGGCTGCTCGCTTTATAATTCACGTATTTAAGATATAAATTTTCTATTGAAATGCCACATTTATGTTGGCCAGAGGCGCCCGCAAACTATAAAAAAGTGTGCACAAGCTATAAAAAAATGTGTGATAATCCCGCGAAATACACGTTGGCCGACAAAGGAAAACGTTTGTTTGTTTTGTTAAGTTATGGCAACGCAACACTTGGACGATCTTCCTATGGGGATGCCTTCCGGGATGTCTTTTTAACTGACCCTATTCAGGCGTTATAGACGTGAAGAAAACTCGGAAAATTCCACGTGGCCAGCCCGTACGAACCCACAACCGAACTCCCAGTGTTTAGGGAACGGAACCGCTGAGCCAAAGAAGAACGTACCAAGCGAATACTATGCACAGTATATAGTTAAACAATGTGTTTTATTTTGCGGAATATGTACAGATTCTTTTTGGATTCCAACTCAATGGTAAATAATTACAACATGGCGGTAACAAATACAACGGCAGACAATAACATACATACGCACCGATCGCGACATATCCTATAAAACCAATAACGAGAAAGACTATAACTAGTTCTTATAAACTAACTTAAACTAAGGGAAGGGGGAAGGGGGAAGTTAACAGAGAGAGTGACAAAATAGTGAAATAAATTGTAGGAAAGAATGAAATACTCGGGATGTATGGAAAATTGCACAATTTCGGTGGGAGGCCACTGATGGCTTTTTCTATCTTTGATATCTACTTGGTTCTCCTTTTATCGTGACTACGATAAAATTCAAGTCCTTATCAGGCTAGCACTGTTCCTCCAGTCTAGCTGCCCTTGACGATACGGAGCACCATCTTCCACGTCCATCCACTCTGAGGTTCAGTCGAAAGAATATCTCATTCCCTCTCAGGTCCTCTTTCGCGCTATTTTTCCTGTAGTTCCACGAATCGGTCCTCGCCACCCAAGGGAAAAAGAGTTAGAAAGGAAAATTCTAGAAGCGAGAAGGAACAAAGGGAAATATTCTAAAACGATGATTAAATTAATATATACAATGGCGTACTGCCACAAGGGCATCGTACGTATGTACTATACATTATGCAATAATAAGATACCTATATATATCTATATATATATATATAAATGAATGTATGTCTGTCTGTCTGTATATCCTTCATGCATTACCACACCGTTTATCCGAGTGCCATGAAACTTTGGGAAGTTTTTTAATACACTCCCTCGAAGGTTTCTGGCATAGTACATTTATCCTACGATAGATGGCGTGAGTGTACACAAGCATTTCATCGTGAGTTCGATCGATTTCAAATTGTGAAGACCATTTCCCCCTTCCAAAAAATATCTCTATATATGTATTTGTAAACTGTTATTTACGATATTTGTAATAATTTTTGTTTAATCACTTTATTTCAACTATTTTTTGCTAATTACGTATTCGCTCGAACTTTGTTAAAACCTTAACTGTATCCTGAACAACAACCGAAGTTGTAGGAGGAAATTCGTCTATTTTACCGATCTAGGGATCCCCTTTTCCAAATTTTAATATTAACTCAAAATAATTTAAAAAGACAAATTACAATAAAACGGTTTATTATCCGACTATCAGAAATTTCACAACGCGCCAAGGAAGAGAGGAAGGAGCAATTAAATAATTAAAATTGTAAAGGATTAAAAAATGTATATAAAAATGGGGAATATCGCACTTCTGACAATCGCTGCAAGTGTGTGGGCTAGATTTGCAGAATCCGTGCTTCTCACATGGACAACTGTATGTGGAGTCGGAAAATCTTCTGATTTATTCGTGTACGCACCAGACAGAAAAACAAAAAATATCGTGTATCCACAAGCACTCCAATAAATAAATAGAATTGAAACGACACTTTGAAATGTTTTCCCGATGAAAATGTATAATAATAAGTTTCAATAAAAATGATAAAATGTAAATTGAATTTTATTATAACGAGTTTGCTTGAATTTCGTTTCTTCTGAGATCGCAGCAATGCGCGACGGGTAAACTAGTTATATATATATAAATATATCTCTTGATTAACGCAGTTAATTAGTTAATTGTTACAGCGTATATCAAAATGGGGTTGATCAAATACAATTGTACCTCAATACTAGACTGAACTATCACGACCCGCTAGAACAAATTTTCGATTAATAACAATTTTTATTTTGACATTATAAAAAGTTTTTTGTGATAAAAAATGAGTAACTAATTTAAAAGTAAAATGAAACCTTACAGTTCCCTTGGAGATTAAGAAAAGGGCAACCCGATGACAAACGGGGGGCACGTCCCCCCAATGTATGGACGCCCCTGGATCAATACATTGCTTTATTCCAGTGTTTTTCAACCTTTTTCATCTCCCAGCACACTTCAACCTATAATTAAATTTCCGCATAAAAATCACGTGTTTTAAAAGTTGTTTGTAAACATTCTATCGCCATATTATTGATACTTGCCGCTAAACCTAATTCTTTGTCTATATTTTTTGTGAATTAAATAAAATAGCATTGTTGTTCCTTAAAATCGCAGCAGGTTACAATAGTTATTTAAATTAATAATTTTCATTTACATAAGAAAAACAATTAGCATTGAGTCTTCATTTGCAGTGGTGGGCAAAAGTATTGGCACAGTTGAAGATAATGCTAAAAATATATTACAATTTATATTTTCTAGTAAATCCCTGGTTCTTAATTTACCAAAGGGTCAAAAATATTCAATAATCTATACATCGAACACTTTAAATGGAAATTTCTATTCCACACTTACGAGAGATTCTTCCATAGAAAGACCACCATCACTTCCGTATAAAAGGATAAAGAGCATACCTAATGGCACGTTATGCTAGGTGAAACATGCATTTACTTAGGGCCTTCTATTCCGAGAAACAAGGCAGTGGCATGTTATGACATTATGGGGCACAAAAAGTTTAATTACAGGGTGCCATATGCTGTAGTGTTGACTTCAGAGATTTTTCTTCCAGGTAATTTTTTGGAGGAAATATTCTTACAATAGATTGATTTGGATCCCAGGCAATTTCTCTTTTTGCCCATAGGATAACACACCACTGAAACAAAGTGGAATCTATGTACTGTACAAAATGACAAAATGAGTTTCAACTTACTGCTCAGGTCTCGAACTTATTACAGTAATTCGGTAAAGGACCTCTCTGTTTATAACTTAAAAATTAGAGAGATGCAATTACTATTGAAATTTCAAATTGTTAGACACTTCAACATAAATCAGAGGAGTTTATACTCAATAAAAAATGTGGATAAAATAATGTCTTTAAAGGCAACTCATATTTTAAAATATCCATTATTTTATCAATCAATTTTATAAATCATGTCTGCATATTAATATTTACATTAAGTTGCTAAATACTGTAAATACTTGTCTGTCATGTTTTTTGTTCAAAAAATATGAAAGACAACATTCTCACATTGTGTAATTTTCTCTGATATATAGTTCAAGATGGAGGAATCACAGCTGATAGATAATAATCAAGATGCAAGTTTTTGCTAATTGAAAGCTATTGAATGAATAGAACATTTAGTTCAGAATTGAATGTAAAAATTTTTAGTTACATAAAGTTCAACCAATAAACTGCTTTGCTGAGGACACTAAAACAAAAAATGTTCCTACTGCATTTATTAGATTTTTTTTTCATTTTTCTCTTTCTGTATAAGGGGCCTTTTTTTTTTAATACTTATCATGAGTTTGTCCAGGTCAGACAGTAAAGGATGGGACCCAGAAATATCCAGGACCAACGCATGAAAAATTCCAAGAGTGCACTCACTCAAATTCAATAAGGACCTTCTCCTTAAACCTAATTCATGTTTTAATGCAGAAGTTCTATGTATATACAATAAAATTATTATTAATTATAAATATTATATAATATTTTGAAATTTAAAATAATAATTCTGATAAACAACACAGATGAAATCTCTAGAAAACAATCTTTATTAGGTATTTAACATACATATTGTAACATTAGTTATTCACATCTTAACTTTTTTTCCCTCAATGTTTATAATCCGATATCTAATTATGCAACAAATATTAATACAACATTCAAATGCTTGTAGCTGTCTTTATTTATTAAATAATCTCTTTATCAAACATTTAATGCAAATACAAATTCTATTTGTCTTAATAAAAATACCATTTACTTGGTAATCATTTCTAGGCATCTTTTGGTTTTACAACAACGGGGCCGACATTATCTCCTGTTTCTTTATTATGCTTGTTATGACTTCCGTCACAATAGGGAAACTAAATTTTAAAAAAAATTCATTAATGAATTAGTATTTCATAACCTTAAAGCTAGGTATATTAATCAATAAGCAATAAAAATTCTGAAAGTGCAATTGTTTTTTACATTGATAGAGTCTAATTAACTAAGAGTCCTTTAAATCAAGATTTTGTATTATTTAAGGTTGAGTTCACACTGCCAATGACAATGACCACAGGTCATAAACAATAATGACAATGTCTTTTGTTCTATTCATCCACATCATTTATTAGTTTCCATGTTAAAGCATGAACAATTTACATTAGGTTTAGCATTATTCTGTGGATTTCTGCATTTTCAGACCAAATTCATCTGTTTTAAAAATGGATATGAAGAGTAAAATGTTAATTCTTTGATATTCTAGACATGTCATAGAGCCTAAATGTTTCTTCAACACAATATTAGCCATTCCTCCATCTTATTCAAAGAGAATTGTGAGAAGTTCACATTGATTGGCCAATATAGTTAAACAACAAAATCTTGAATCTCAGATAACTTTCAAACACCAAACAACTAAGATGAAAATGCAATGATAACTTTACGTAGACAAAAAATAAAAATATTGGCATTTGTTGTTGTCATTAGCAATGTGAATGCAGTGTAAGGTGAATTGTAGAAGAGTACTTCTAAGACATGAAAACATAGTACAGTACAATACAGTTCGTTTTATCAATCTTGGCACAGTTCTCAAAAGGTGCTTTAAAGTTTCAAAAATAATTTACTTCAGTGGCTTCTCATAAATTTGAAAAAAAAAAAAAAAACATTAAAAAAATTTTAATCATAATCTTCATAGACCTGATTTTAAAACCTCATTATTCTATTTTGTTGATCACTTTGTGCCAAATATTTCATGTTATCCAAGATTTTGATTATCTCAGGCATTCTCAAACATGGTCCACATTACCTTGTACAATTGAAACTCTACAGTATTATATTTTTTAAAATAAAATTTAACAAAACTCCTAAAATTTCCTATATATTATAATTATTGGAAGTTATTTATTTAACATATTAATCTGCTAAAAAAGAATGCATTTGTTTTGTTCTGCATCTTGTTGAAACAATGATAATGAGAAAAAAGTAATCAAGTATTAATATGTTACCTTCTCATAGATATTTTAACTAGATAATTAGGATATAAAATTTATTTTAATTAAATATTATAAAGATATAAAATTTTGTGTCTGAAAGATAAATCATTATTACATATTGATGTTCATTGTATTATCATAAAAGAATAAAAATAAAAGTAACATTACAGTTTGAAAGACTCTTATTCCTAATTTAAAGGGGCAAATAAATGAAGTGAGCATTACGCACCAAGAAGTTATAATTAACATTTATTAACCTTACAAAATTACGAAAAAAAAAAAAAGAAAATTTGTATATTTTCAATCAATATCATTAAATTTAGGAATTTCTTTCTAATTTTGTGTATAGAAAACCAACAGTAAATAATAACATAAAATAATTTCAGAGAACAGCAAACCTCTTCAACTTCCAGCAAATAACAATACAAAGCAAATCACAAACATTTTCAGAATCCACCTGATTCTAGCTTCAGGTTTAAAGAGTTTGTTTCAAATTGGAATGCATAGAAAAGAACACAAGTGCAGGTTCATTTTGAAAAGGCCAGTGCGAGATATGTGCAAAGGCATTCTACATCACTGTGGCAATAATGATAATCATACCATGTCAATAGCTGTATTTCATCCTTGGAGTCGATACAATTGGAATTAACACTGGTTTTAAATATTTCCAACAGATTCCAAGAGCCTAATATGGTCACAATTTGCAAAGGATCCAATGAGCTGAGTCTGTTGTAATTTAGCCTCTGTAGGTCTTCTGAGACATACATTGATAGGACAGTGGTGGGTTTTGAGTGATCTATATCATATTTGTGTTAACAAATTTTCTGCTCTAAAGACCTTTTGGAGGAACCAACCTAAACTAGATCCGTCCCAAACCTCTTGTCTCTTACAGGAACCCTATATACCACTGCGAGTCATGGCTGGTGTGGGGGAGTCTTTCATGTTCCTCAGTATGTATTCTGGCTTTTGCTAGAAGCTGAGGAGGTTTGCTGTTATCTGAACATATTAGAAGTATCCAGTGTTGGTGATGTACTTTTATAACAACATAAAAGAAACAAAAATAAGGTAATGAAAAAATTTAGTGCATTAATTCCAAATGCTGCATGTGATGACACTACATATTCATCATGCCATTTCCTTATGCTATATGATGCAATAAATTACTTCATAAGAAATGCATATAGGCATTAATTCCTAATTTTCAAACATATTGAAAAATGCTAAATAAACAGGCTATAACTTCCTTTGTCATTCAATAAATCTCATCTTGTAACAAAATATTTACTGTTTTAAAAACTTTTAAACACTTTAATAGTGAATCTAATTCATTTTCTGTAAGATCTAAAAATAAATTCTTATTCAATTGCTTATTCAATTTCAAAAAAAAAGATTTCAAGTTTTTTATTATTTCAGAGAAATTTCTATACTTTCTAAGAAAAATGTTAATTTGTGCAAGAAAAGTTTTCAGTACAACACTTCCAGATTTTGCTTCAGTGAAAATTAAAATACAGTAATACCCCGAACTTACGCAATAGGTGGGACCGAGTGATGACCGCGTAAGTCAAATTCGCGTAAGTCGGGGTATAATTTCGCAATTTGTGTAAAATCCAAGTCAGATGTATGTAAGCTAATAAACGTTCTCGTTAATCTTATCTCGTCTTTTGATTCGTTCACGGTTGCAAGAAATCACCACATAGTCTCTCAAGTCTCCGTAGATATAACAAACACAGAAATAAATAACACAAAATAAATTGTAGCTATGTGTCGATTCTGCGCGGCATGTCCGAACATGTAAGCTGAACAATAGTGTGGGGTGAGTGAGTAATCAAGAGTTGCGTGGCGCTCAAACAAAAGACGAATCAACGAGATTTGAAAATCGCGTAACTCCAGGTTCGCGTAAGTCGGGGTAGCGTAAGTCGAGGTATTACTGTATATAAGATGTGGTCATATTAATATCAATGTAGAGTAAAGGTTTACTTTGATCCTTAGATCTAATTATTGTTTCAAATTTTATGAATGTTTAAAACATTCACAAAACAAAACACTAAAGCACTAAAAACATTTGTCTCCCCCGTATCATCCTCAAGGATGCTCAGTTACTACATGTACCAATGGAAGAAAGTAATAAGACTAAGAAATACTATACCGGAGTGAGAACTGACTGATAAGACTGAAAGAACATTTCAAAGACTGTAAGAGAAATACAATGACAACAGCTTTAATGGAGAATGTATTAGAAATAGTAATAACTGTTAAGTGGAAAGAAGCAAAGTTATCAAAAAATAAATAAAAGAGAACAAGCAATTATTTATTGTGACATCGTCACAATGCCGGGATGCAATGTTTAATCGTATTCTCAATTTAAAATATATGATCTCCACCTGAAATTAGTACAGTCTTGCCCCTGTACATCATACTTTTCCTGTTAGCAATAGAGTCATGCCAGTCATCTAACTAACTCCTTTCATAATAAAATTTTTGAATTGAAATAACATACCTTCCAGTTTTGATTGATTAGCTGTATACAATCAGAAGATTGTATACAGTTAATCAGGGCCTCCCGCCCTAAGCTTTCCATATCTGGTCTTGGTTTTTCATCTATCTAACTCCATTCTTGAGGTTAAGGAAGAACAGACAGATGGACAGAAATTTAAGACACTTTAAGACAGTGGGAATTTATAGGTGTACAATTTTTTTCAAATTGCAGTCCAATTAGAATGTAGGTTGTGTTGAGAAATTATGCAGATAAAATAACTTAAACTGAATAACAGTTACTATCAAAGATGAAATTGTAACACAGAAATGGTTTTTAAGGAATGGAGAAATGAATCTAAAATATTCAGAATAAATATGGTACTTTTCTCATAATGAATAGTGCAGCTACAATAAGGAAAAAAGTGATAGACAGAACTCTCTAACAGTAAGCAGAGTCTACTGGATGAAGATAAGGCGTTTTTAAACTGAAAAATTGTAGTTGATCCACTATTGTCACTTTTACCAAGTAATAAAGTGCGAACAACAGGGCAGAAACTGACACCACCAGTTATATCCTGTTATGAAAATAAAAGTTCAAAATAAAAATACATAATACCAAATACACAAAACAACTTCAGTACAAAATGAAAACTTTTGTTGCTTTCTCTTTAGATTTTAGACAATTCATCATTCTATTTTGGTAAAAGGAATTCCTAGATTATTAAAACAGAGCATAATTATATCTTGAAAAGAATACAATGTACTGTACATTTATGATTATTTATATGATTTAATTGCTTAAATATATAAATTATAGATCAGATGTAATAAAGATTACTAATGTATTTTGTTAGTATAAAAAAACACATTAACAAATACCATTATTTTAATGAAATTGTTTCTACTCATTAAAATTTTCAATAAGCAATAAAAATAAATAAGAATTTAATCATTTCACTTATAAATGCTTTAAACCCAACATTAAAATTAAACAAGGCCAAACAAAGGAAAAGTATAAATATATCTCTTTGTATTCCTAACAGTTTAGTTTTTGTTTCTTTCCTCTTAAAAGTTTAGTTTTAATATAGTAAATTGGATTCTTTGAAAATAAAAGAATGCAATCAATTTTGTTATCTGTTAGTATGTAGTTTAGTAGACATTATTAGACTTACATCTACAGATAATATAGTGAAGTAAATGATAAAAATGATAGAATGCCTTGTCCGATACATTTCAACTTTCTTTTAAATCGCATCAACTTTCCCAATAGATTGAACTAGACCTTTCAAAAAAATTGGATGTAGAATAACATTAATTTACTTATTCTACATTTGATTTAACTTTATCCTAAAGATGGCATGAAGTAAAATTAAAAATATTATGAAAAATAATTTTGGCACCATTAAGCAGTTTTTGTACATTCAAGCTAAAAAAAGTTATAAAATTTAATGATGATTAAATTTCATGATTCAATTAAAAAATAACGTCTTTTATTTTCCTTATTTATGGAAATTAGTAGTAATGTTTCTTGAATTTTATTACTTCATTGCATTTCTGTTAACTTAAATATTGGGATAATTTATTTTTTTTCTACTTCTCTGAAAAATTTAAATTAATCAAAATTTAATGCATTACAAAATCCAGTCAAACCTTTAAATCACACTGACAGAAACATAAGAATCAGCTGATCTTTAGAGGTTATTTCTTGTGTTAAAAAAATGGCCATTATTTAGAGGTGGCTGTTATTGGACATTTATTGCATATAAACAGCTATTCAGATCAAGAATTGTATAACTTGGAAGTTTAATATAATATGATTGTTCTTATAGTTTATTTCTTTTGTTTCATAAAAAAATTAATTATATTAAAAATTCATGAATTATTATTTGATATATCTGCAAAAAATAAAATTTAATAAAATAACTAGAATAATAAAATTTATTATATTTAAAAATTATTTAAAATCTAATACCTTTGCAGATTTCCAACATCTACAGAAGCACGTTTTGCTACCAATATCTTCAATATCGAAGGAATGTACGATTTTTTCACATTTCTTATCAATACTTTTATTAACAATATCGCCCTTCTTCGAAAGTTTAAAAGTCACATAAATTGCATAACCGAGTGCAGAACAAGTACTGATCACTGAAAGTACTGGAACCCAGTCTCTCCCTATAAACAGAAAATTACTTTAAAAAATTTAAATTTAAAAATTGTTATTAAAATTAAATAAACATGAATTAGTCAGTAAGGCTTCTATCATATTAATATCCTAAATTCATCACCAAATTACAAGGTTTGCGATTTTCATATGTAATTGCAGTCCTCAAAGAAATTCCTAAATTCTATGGATTGGATTGAAAGGATTGGCAACATAACAAAGAGGTGGCCTGCCTAGAACATCTCCTAGAACAGTGGTGCGCAAATTATTTTCATTTCCAACTCCCCCATTTTGTGAAAAATTTTGTCACAATCCCTGGATAGACAGCAGATGTTTTTTTAATTGTCAACATAAAGTGAAATTCTTTCTGGGATTTGTGCTTATGTTTTCTGCCTTATTAGAGGTCTTAATAAAACAATTTTATAAAACAATGGTTTTATTTATGCATATGAATATAAAAATTAATTTAATGAAAAATACTTTTAAAAATACTTTACATTGTAAGAATTCAATGTGAGGTACAGTATGCTATTCTATTTTTGTAAATAACATAATTTCATTTCACTATTTTACTGATACCTGTTACTTGTTGAAGAAAAGCCTTAAATTTTTTTATTGTCAAATAAATTTCTTTGAATTTGGCAACTGAAAAATTTTTTCACGATCCCTCTGAGGGTCGTGACCCACAGTTTGTACACCACTGTCCTAGAGCAGCATTCTTCAACCTTTTCCCACCTGCAGACTGGCAAAAATAGGAATATTTCATGGAAAGGCAGAAGGCTAAAGATAAATTTTCTTAGACTTAAACTGCTTAAATGCAAACATTGTCCTGAACTTCCTCTATTTTGTTTTTCTATATTTTAAGTTGACTTAAAAATTAAGTTGAAACAAAGATTATGATATATATGTATGATTTGTTTGAATTCTAATTAAAAACAAATTATAATCAGTTTTTTAGGCTAAAAAAGTAGAGTAATTAGGGGAAAAAATTATTCATATTGAACTACATTTAAGAAACATAACAATAATCTGAAATAATAAGCAATAAACAAAAAATAATATGCACAATCGCAATAAAATAAGAAGTTTTACCACATGTCACCAATAAGCAAGCTGATGCAATACTGCAACACCTACTAAGTGTAACAGAAGGGGTTTAAGGGGTGGGTCAATTATCATGAGACTAAAATTTCAATTTGTAATGAACTTTATTTAAACAATTGCAATAATAAAAATAAATAAAAACTATTTATATTAATTACAAGTTTAAAATCTTATTATTTTGTATTTTATTCTTTTATAGCTATGTATTTTTTGGCTATTAACTTGGACTTATCATACTACAATTTCTTAGGAATCTTAACTTGGCTTTTTTCCCCAAAATGTACACATTGGAGTTTAAAGTTACTAGGAAATAAAGAGAAAAAAGCCAAGTTAAGATTCCTAAGAAACTGTAGTATAAATCCAAATTAATAGCCAAAAAAATACATAGATATAAAAGAATAAAATACAAAAAGAAAAGAAAAGGTCTTATTATTTTATTACGAAATTTCCAGCCAGTCTATGAAATTTTTTGTTGACCGGCAGGAAATTTCAGTGGACTGGCATCAGTCCTTGGACCCAAGGTTGAAAAACACTGTCCTAGAGGACTTTTTAAAGAAACTTGTCCCCTATTTAGGTGTTAAATATGTAAAGAGAACCCAAAAAACTCCACATGGTCAGCATGTTGGTTCGGGTGAAAACCTGCAACCAACTACCAGTGGTTTTATCCATTTGAGAGACATTGGTGGGACTTAAATTCTAAATTCTATCTAAACTCTACTCTTATTCTAAATTCTAAGGATATTTATGTATGTTAAAGAATGTCATATACAGTACAATGCAATTTTATTTCAGACAATCAAATTTTCTATAGTGATCAATAAGATGACTGTCACGCCAAATTACTGTATTATAAAAAGAGAAGACACTGAAGAGCACCGAAACAATGTTGTGAGGGTTTAAGGGGTTTAAGGAGTGGGTCAATTATCATAAGACTGAAATTTCAATTTATAATGAACTTTATTTAAACAATTGCAATAATAAAAATAAATAAAAACTGTTTATATTAATTACAAGTTTAAAATCTTATTATTTTGTATTTTATTCTTTTATAGCACTTGAAGAGCACCGAAACAATGTTATGAGGGGTAGACACACTACCGAGCTCGCAAGAAAAGTACTTGTGCAGGGTTACAACCCGCTATGGTCCCAAGCGGTTATACTCAAGAGCTGTAGGATCGAAAAATCATTTTCATATGGGAATCTCTCCTTACTACCACCTTGGACACATGCAACACTCCAACTCTCAAGCTGCCCAGTGTATGGGCCACACTATACAAGCAATTAAGCAAATATTAGCATTCTCCAGAATGCGTATAGTGTGTTTCTAGATCTGTGCATGCGCTTACTCGCACATGATGGAGCTTTCTGCTCGTTCATTTTTCGAACATTTTTTAATATTTCTATCATGTTCCTAACAGCTTAGACAAAAGTTTCAACTTAAATTTAAGTGTTCTATTCTATATCGGATTAATTCCGTTAAAAAAAAAAAATTTTCAGTAAATCTTCGTATTCGCCTGATGACGACGACCATATGTTCGTTGAAAGTACTTGCGATTAAAAATGCACATGCAATGCTGACCTCGGTGTCTTCTCTTTTTATAATAAAATTTTCTATATTCTTAACAAAAGCTACATTATAACTAAATCATAATTAGCAAAGAATTAGTTATAGTACGATACTGAAAATAAATATTTTAAACCAGTAATTTTATCTAAAAAGTAATATTTTTGAGTTGACTACCTTAATCAGTTACCAACAAGTTCTGAAACAATATAATTTAGAATATTTGTTTCTAAATATGAAGATGTCTGATGAAAGCAATCGAAAACATTAAAATTTTTTTAAAATAAATCCTTAAAACATTTTGAATTATAAAAATATTCTAAATAGCAAATACTTGTTTTAATCTAAAAATCAAAGATTTAATCAAGGTCAATTAATTGGATATGAAACCAAAAAACACAATCCTACAATAAATAATTTATTGATAATTTCCAAATTATAAGCAATGGTCCAATAAATCTAAACGATAGCTAAGCCAAGAACATATTTGCTATATCAGAATTATTTGATGTGAAAGTCATTTAAACATTTACAGTAAGCTAAAGTAATTGGAAAATAGGAAATACTGTAATTTCATAACTGTAATCTGCAGGAGCAATTTATCATTGAGAGAAAATGCTTAGCATTATGTAATCCATACATCTGTGCCATAGTTATTCACTTTCTAGGCACGCCAGCAATAAAATAATGCAACTTAAAAGGACATTTAATAATTAAAAAGAAGTATTTTTAAATCTAGAAGAGAAACGGAACAATTCAACCATTTAAAAGATGTAAATAATACAAGTTTAAAATATAGAGTATGAATAGATAAAAATGTTCTCTCTAGTGATTTCTAGAGCCACTTTTTGGTATCGTGAAAAAATTGTCACAGATAATGCACAGTTTGCATCATCAAAATCAAAGTTGTTAACACAATCCACAGATTATAGGCAGAAATTACAGTTTTTATGCACTAGAAACTCTTCTACTTATAACAATGAAGAGATTTTATTACCTTATTTAATAAGGTTCTAAATATATTTTAGGAATTTTTATTGAATATCTGCTGGATTTATGTGAATTTTGTAGTTAGGAAATATTTTATTACTTCAAAATTAGATGCATCCAAACTTTAAAAGATTTTTCAGGGAAAAACTGGATGATAATTAGAAATAAATGTAATTTAATAGTAGTAATGTTACTGATTAATTGAAAATATAGTGTAGTTAAAAAAAATACTACATAATTTTCATTATAACAGACTTGGAAAGATGATAGACAATATTCCATATTTTAGATTAATTTTGGAATGATGAGTTTATGATTAGAATTAAATTTAATTGCTTGAATTTAGGATCAATGGACATGAAGACTAATTTGCTTTCAATTCTTTTAATTTCTTCATGTGGAATACATAGGCTCTATAATCAGTCTTAACATTCCTTATCATCTCTCATTACAAGCATAATGATATAGGTCAGCATTGAGTAAATCTATCTTAAATTATATATCATGATATCATGCACTTCTATAAAATTACTAATAAAGAGAAAATCAAAACAATAAAACAGCACTGTAAGTGTCTGGGTTACATTCAAATAAATACACAAAGTAGTGATGCCATAGTTCACAAAGAAATGCATGTACTGTACAACTTGAAGGATGAATATGTTCAAGTTAAACTGAGAAGAGGCTATTTGCAACTGAAATGAACTATAGAGAACAGTTCAATCTTAACAATATGGCAGCTGAAAGTAGTATATCATTATATTTAACACTATAAATATATATAAACTCAATAATAATAAATAGCTATTAGAATGTCTTTTTAAAAAAATCAATTTAATATAACTTATATGCAGGGTGGTTATAAATTATTGAGCACATTTCGAAGAGGAATAAAAAAGAACACAGTAAAGCACTCACAATGTATGTTGTTTTATTTAATATGCCACAAAATAAAATATTTTACATTTTAAATAAATTCCATGAGCTCCATGTGTAGTACATAAAATCCAGGTGGCATTCAATTTCACACCATGTGTTACAGAGCATTTCAGCAGTTTATTCCTTCACTGACTTTATCAATTCATCTTTTCAGTTCTTCAACATTGCAAACCTTTGTTGTGTACTCCCTTTCTTTGACAAATCCCAAAGAAAGAAATCCAGTGGTGTAATGTTGGTGAATCGAGATGGCCAGGAAATTGTTCCTCTGCTGCCAATCCAATATTCAGGAAATTTTTCCTGTAGGTAGTCTCGAACAATTAAATCCCAATGTAGAGGTACCCCATCTTGCCAGAAGTAAATATTCAGTTGTCAGTATTCAATTTGTGGTATCACCTGCATAATCCTACATCATATCAAGCTATACAGTGATAGTCACTGTATGCTTGGAAAAGAAGGTTCCCCTAATTTTACATCACAGTGCCACCTATGTTCAGTCAAGGTCAACAAAAACATTTATAGCTACTCTATATCAGACATGTGCAAATGTGGCTCTTTTTGAGTTACATGTGGCTCTTGCTGAAAGTGTTAATTTCTGCTTTTTATTATTATTTTTACAATTTTATTTCCACAATTTTGTGAAAATATGTTTATTAAAACAATCCAATATTTGTTTTATATTTTGTTTATATTATATAATAAAATTGCGGTACAGAATAAAAAAGTACAGAACTGCGGCTCCCATGCATTTTGCAAAATCTACATTTCAGCTCCCACTGAACTTTTGCTTGACCACCCCTGCTCTATATCATTTGAAACAAAACAGAGGTCACTATGTTCGTGTGTTATTTTCTTATTCCTTCCTGAAATGCACTCAATAATTTATAACCAGCCTGTACATCTCTTTTTTTTTTATCTCTCTCTACATTGTGGGTGCTAAGATGGCCTTTTTAGCAAGCCCATTATTGCTTTGGCCAAGCCCACAATGGAACAACTGGTGGTAATGGATAGGGCCTGACTTATCCAGATGGACCCGCAAAAATTTTCTAAGATTCAATCCCAGGTCACTAGAGCAGTATGCTGCCATCTTAACCACTTTTCAGCTTTAATATATTACCAAGTCCAAGGGAGAAACAAAACTCAAAGACATTTTATTAAAAACTGTGTATGTATGATTTTTAATGTAGTAATTCATTTCATAAAAATTAAATAAAATTTACCCATAATTAAAATTAAGTATATATATTTGTTTTTAAGGGCTAATGTATTAAAATTTATTTATTTGCAAGTTATATCTATAAAAAGCTTAAAAGATTTTTATCTTCAAAGTATTTAATGAATTTATATAGCAAAAATAGATGTAACAAATTTTGTTAAGTGTTGTTAAACAAACAATAGTGACAAAACATCTTTGTATAAAAGCATTAGTCAATAAAAATTGTCAAAGAAACTTCTGTTATTAAACTCTATACAGCTCTAATAATATTAAAACAAAAAATTTTCAGATAATGGCAATAATTTATTAATAAACCTTTAAACTTGAGATTAAACTCTACATTAAACAAAAGTAAAACTACTTTATTTGTTTCTCTATTATCCTATGGAACTCTCTATGAATATTTAATCTATTGAACAAAAATACAAATTAAAGGAAAGTAAATGATATTAAATGACCTATTATAATATATATTCAAATAAAATTTTATCACTATCCAAAATACATTTCAAAAAGTATTGTATATCTGAATTTATTATCTCACTCCAAAATAATAAATATCAATAAGGTTTTTCACCTGTCAATATATGATAAGTATTATGAAAATATAAGGAACAAGCAGAATATATTTAATACATTCCCACTGTTTTAGAAACTAGAAGATGAAGCAACAAAATACTCTTACTTTGTTTGCTTTTGCATTGAGGTAAACTGCAATAATGATTGCTTTTAGTTTTTTTTTATATTATTGAATTCTTTCAAAATTCATAGTGAAGTAATGAGAAAGACAAATGAAACAAGATAAATACAGATAACAGTAATAATTCAGTAGATTCAATACTATTAGTAGTTTTCTAAAATAGCACCAGAGTGGAGTCATTCACTTTCAATGCAAACACATACTATTTCCACTATAGCTATAAGATGGCAGCAACAATAAATTAAAATGATACAGTCATACATAATGTATAATTCACAAATTAACTATCATGAAGTCAATTAATAAATTAAATATAATCTTACAACATTAATTTGTTTATGAATCTATCAAGAAGTGAACCATGCAATATCATGATAAGTTGTTTACTGAAGTTTATTCTTAATGCAAACAAAGTAATGTTGCTTGAAACATTCTCAATTCATTTCAAATGATCCATTTCATTGGCTTATTTAATTGCTTTCATATTCAATTCTATTTTTTTTTTTATAAAATTTTAATTAAGTTACTTATGTTTTTTATATATTATTTTAAAAATAGAATTTCTGTAGTCAATTACTATAGTTACTTATTGTTAATTTTTAAATAGCTAATCACCTTTAAATTACATTTTGATTTTTATACTTAAAATACATTTGATAAATTCATTAATGCTTCTTCCTAGTCAATGAAATTCATTAGTTTATTTAAATTATGTTTTATGTTGAATATCTTTATATCTATCTAATGTGAAACTCTAGATTACACTTATTTTTAGATTAAACTGAATTAATTTAATCTAGTAAACTAAAATTAGTTAAATCTAGTAAACTAGATTAAAGTTTTTAGATTAATCTAGATTAAACTCTAGATTACACTGTATTTAAAAATAAGACACTGTTATCTGAAATATTATGTAATATAGTAATTTCTATAATAATGATATTGATCTGTATAAGTCGATCATCATTTCGTGTATGCATTCACTACAGCAGTATGAAAGAAATTAATATCTGCCTAGACAGAATATCGTTTCTTCAAATTTTTATATTCCAATTTAATTATTATAGTATAATACTGATGTATCTTTAATCTTTTCAATTAAAAAAAATGACTGATTAGATATAATTTTTCTGTTCAAATTTCACTCTAATATCCAATACAATAGAGAAATACTTTAGCTATTTAATACTTCAATAGGTCTGAACAAGCAATATTAAAAATTAGATCATAAACGTAAAGGATTACAAAATTTCAAATCATTTACTGATTTTAAAAAAAGTCCATTCAATTTTAAAGACTGATAAATACAAAATAATAATAATGATTTCTTAATATGCATTATTTACTTATGAAAATGAAATAAACTATACACAACTGATATAATGAATAATGCATCTTAAGTACTGTTACTGCATGAAAGACTTTTATAATAAAGATTATTTAACATTTAAAACATCAAAAATGTAGTGATTTAAAAGATTTTCTTAAAAATATTGTTTTTATTCAATATTCAATTTTCAACACTATGCAAAAGAAAAAACAAGCATTAGTTTCAGAGTACATCAACTCAATATCAAGAAAAATACAATTGCTCATATTATAGGATTCAAAGCTTTTTATTTAGTTAAGCATTTTTTGCAACTTCTCCAACACATTATCAGGACTGAAAAAATTCAAATCATAAATTCAACTGAGAACATCTATACATTTCCATTGAGTGTTCTGAAAGAATCCTTCAAAATCCTCAATATATTTGACTGATATATATCTGTGTATATGTATGTAAGCATAGGCCATCTCTTCCCACCTTTTTTTTAATAAAATTATAGCAGTAACCCTCCTCCATAAAATTTACTTACAATAGAAAACCTACCAAGATGCTTATACAATTTTCTAATTCTATTATACAACCCAAAACACATTTAATGGATTTTAAAACAATATATTCATTACTTACCACCTATAAAAAAAAAAAATAAATCATAAATTAACATTCAATACAATTATTTACTCAAAAGAAAACTGTTTCCAATCAATAGTTTTGTAACATTTAAATTTATTTTTAAAATATTTCCCTTATTCAAAAAATTATGCAGATTTAATAGTTGTTTTTAATTTATCACTATTTAATCAAAATTACATAAAATCTCATTTTTAAATCTTTGCAAATAATTTTTATTTAAGGACATTGAACTAAGTCAGTATATATATTTTGATTAAAATAAATAAAATAAGTTTTGTATAGTAATAATGTAAATGAGGAAAAACTAATGTTTTATCTTAAACTGAGATAGCTTACATATTTTTGTAATGTGAAACAATTATATCACATTAACTTAATATACATGTGTATATAAATTGCATTAAAAATTGTCAGTTGAAGTTTATCTTGGATGCAAATCCCAATGGATGCAATTCAGTTAGCTTAGGTTTGGTTAGGTTAAGTTAACTACATTTCTAGTAGACATTTCCTTTTTTTCTTTTTAGGTATTCCTTTCTTCTGTCTACTAAAAATGTAGTTAACCTAACCTAACCAACCTAAGCTAACCGAAGTGCGAGAAACTGAGAATTTGTTTTATCTTATTGTATTTTCTGTGTATTTATTTGTTGTTTGTTTACTTTATCATTGTTTTCAGTGGTCTTTCTTTTTTTATCAAATTGAGGGCGAAAATCATTGTCTAGTGATACTTCCTACTGTATTTGTAAAATAAATAAATAAAGTTATAGTATATTTTATCAATTTCCATAATAAATTTAATAGTTTAATTGCAATTAAGGGTTTTCTATACTATTAATTGTATGTTCTGATACAGACAGTACTATGTCTATCATAACATATAATTACTAGAATCTTTGACCTCTGACCTTTGGTTTACATGTACAAATTTTTTAACAAAAATGTGAAGTATATAAATGATGTTTGGATCTTTAAGTCATTAAAGATTTTTGTACTGTATTTTAAAATTAGCATCACTATACAACTACGTAGCATATTTCTTAATAATAAATAAGTATAATTAATAAAATTTAAAATTTTGGATACAACCGCATCGAAGGTTAATGATTACAAAATTTACCCGCGTATTTGTTCCAGACTAGAATAAGTTCAAAGTTCAAGGACTACTCGCTTAGTAACAGCATTATATTAATAGCAATAGCAACTAATCCTTTACTAAACATAGAAAAGTAAAATAAATATCATACAAGAAACAGTAGCCAGGCCGCTGACCATTCTGCTTCCTTCTTTACAGCTTCTGATCACCTGATTGACCGAATACTTCTTTCGTTCAGTGTTGCCAACTCAAATTTAAATAGAGGAAAATATCACAAGCAGGGCTGTGGAGTCGGAGTCGGAGTCGGAGTCGTGGAGTTTTGATGTTTTAGCCGGAGTCGGAGTCGGATGATAAGGAAAAGTCGGAGTCGGAGTCGGAGTTGGATTCGGTACATTTTTACGCGACTTCCACAGCCCTGGCAGGGCTGTTGAGTCGGAGTCGGAGTCGGAACCGGATGATAAGGAAAAGTCGGAGTCGGAGTCGGAGTTGGAGTCGGTAGATTTTTACGCGACTCCACAGCCCTGATCACAAGCCTAGCTTATGGGCAGTGGCGTAGCGTAGTGGGGGCGGCAAAATTTCACAATAAATAATAATAACGTCTTGTAAAAATTTGAACCATTTCATTTCATATTTTTGTCGCACCTACGATTCGGACCGATTGAAATGAGCACAGAATTTTTTATTACTTATTCTGTGACGAAATTGAATTTTAGTCTTTTAAATTGAGATACCTAAATAAGGGGGAGGCAAAATTTTCCACCGCCCCGGGCGGCTGATACCCATGTTACGCCACTGCTTATGGGAGACAATGTTGCCACGCCGATTTGCTTGCCATCGGTAGATTCATTAGACAATTTTCGGTAGATTTCGGTAATTTTTCGGTAAATCGACTTTTTGTGGCAGAAAGGAGGTTGCACATAAACAATAACATTCTTTTTCGTCATTTATTTTATTATACATTATAAAACAATAAAAAGCAAAAAAACTAACACAGAACACTTACATAAAAAAATAATAATTTACTAATTAAGTAGGTACATTTTGTCTTATTTTTCTAACAAAATACAGTATTACCTTTTATTTTTCGGATATTAATAATAATTATTATTATTCAATATCTTCCGTTTGTATGTTTTTAACACAGTTTCTTATTTTTGAAATTAAATTATCTTTTACAGGAAAATCGTAACAGTATTTTTATCCAATTAATTGTTTAGTAAGAAGTAAGCCAGGGATTGTTTCAGAGCTCACAAGTCAGTTTATTTCCGTGTTTCGTGTTTAACAGATTTATTTACGAAAATATTCTTTCTATTCCATTAGCTGAAGAATGGGGCAGACACAAGATATTCTCAACAAAACGAGACAGAATCTTTGCAATAAAGTCTCTTACAATATATAAGAAATGAAGGTACAAAGAAATGTTTTATTGAGAATTTTTAGATACATTGAAAATAAAAATTTCTTTCTTGAATTATCGTAAACTTTTCGGTAGATTTGGTGCTTCAATCGGTAGATCGGTAGATCGGTCCCAAAATCGGAAGATCTACCGAAAATTCGGTAGACATGGCAACAATGATGGGAGATAAAAGTAATTTAATTTATCGCCACCAGGATCGCTTTTTGACTCTCTATAAATCAAAGTCTATAAACACAAGGTGTGGGCACGATACCGTGATGCATTGCGACAGTCGCCATATTGGTTTTTTTTTTGTAAAAGTTTAAACGGTGTTTGTAGAGCAAGTTTTGCTCTTTTTTTCGATCTCAATTAACTTCTTGTTATCAATTTTTGTTTTAAATGGTTCGATATTAGGCACCGAACTGTAAAATTTCATCAGCAAAAGGCGTAAGATTGTTCCCGTTTCCTCGCTAACAGAACCTGGACAGCTAAATGGCTTCAATATTGCAGAAGAGTTAAGTGTAAACAACAGAATTCGAGGCTGTAAAAATTTAGTGGATAAAATAATTTCGATAATATAAATTTACAAAGTGTTTGCAATAACTTTTGTAATGTAACATAACTGAATCTTTCAGATACATTTCGAGGAGTCAGAATTTGAAGTTGAAAGAGTGGACGAGAGAAAATGATTGCTGCTGATCATAAAAATAAATGTGTAAATTATTGTGAATATCATAAATAAATGTCGATATGTCATTTCTTTGTTTTAACTTATATTTCTAGTTATAATACAGTCGACCCCCCTATAAGATCATTGATTTTTCCGTTTTATCTGAATTACATGTTGTACGAGTCACTTAGATTTTACAAATATGTGAGCCATTCACAGTCCGGCACACGTATTTGTAAAATTTATGTGACTCGTACAACATGTAATTCAGATAAAACGGAAAAATCAATGATCTTATAGGGGGGTCGACTGTATTTGGTAAATTTTAAATTTGTGGGTAAAACTTTTCTATAAACAGTAATGTTCGTCTTAAACTGAACAATAAAACGATGTATTTACTTCACAGTTTGTAAATAAAATCTATCCATGTAAAGTACTATAATGCCCAAAATCTTCACTAAAGAAATGATAAAAATGATGAAAACTGCATATGGTTAATAGAATATATATCTTTTTACTGTGATCTGTTAATTTTAATCTGAGAAGTTTCAGATTTTGATTTTCAAAATTCTATTCTTGTACTAAAAAGGCTAATTATCATTTACTTTTTCAATTTAGAAATAAAATGCAGTATCTTTGTACTATATTCTGTTTAAATAGCGTTTGTAATTACAACATTAAAACATGGCTCAGTACTAATCTGTAGACTGTGTTTGTGGTAAAGTTTGTTTTCTAACAGGTTGTATAACAAGATAATGTAACTTATTATAACAGAATAAATCTGTTATAATATGTTGTTTGTGGATTGAAAACATACTTTAAAATTCAAAATAAAATAATTGAAGTGAAAACTTTCAGTCATTTAAATTAATATTTTATAATAATTAAAAATATAGAACAGATTACGTATTTTAATGAATAATTATATTGCTTAATAATCATTTTATTGTGAAGTAAACAATAGAATAAATAATGTTAAAGTTGGTATTGTCTACTATTTAATAAATTTAGTTTATATTCATATTCATTCAAGTTTATATTCATAGCTTTCTTCGTTTAGGAACTTTCTAATTAGCTCTTGCAAACACTGAAGATTTACTTTATATATAAAGTTTGAGAGAAAGGTTTTCTTTTATCTTGAACTAATTTGAATTTATAAAAATGTTTACTCTGATGCTCCTGTTTTCAGTTTGTGTGATGCAAAAATGCATGCAAATCTAGAAAATTAAATATATTCTAATTTAAACAAATATCTCCAAATTTCTTCTTTAATTTTGCATTTCATAACTAAATAAATTTATCCTTGTACTGTATCGTAAGAACCATTGACATAGCTTTCTATTTTCATATTTAGTTAAAGTTTTAAAGCCTTCCTGGAAGGAACGTGCAGGTTAATGCACTTACAGAGCATGAAATCTATACGGCAACCTTGTAGAACCAATATGGCGGATTCACGTGGAGGTTTTCGGGGTTTTTTTACGTGTTAAATACGTAAAAACTCTGGCAACGTTGTTGCTGGACTTTTCCGACATTCTTTGTTTGTTTTCATTTCATTTTCAGTTCTATTTCTTTAAGTCTTCAGGTCTGGTTTTATTCGTATACGGCAACGCAATACATGTTCAAACTGCCGAGGCCAACACCTCCCGGGAGGTCTTTTAAGAGAAACTGGATCCTATTCAGATACTACTAACATGAAGAAAACTCATTGGTCAAGACTAACTACCAATGTTCATTGGTTTTATCACTCCGCCACTGGTGGGCCTTTAAGTCTTCAGATTGATTCGGGAGATATTAAGCGGGTGAGGGCCATATCTTCCCAACCAATAGTCCCGAATTTTCCTGAAAATTTCTATAATCATTTACAAACGTCTCTGCAAAATACAGTATCAGAAATGTCTGACAAAAGGTACAAGAGTTATTACCGTTGAAAGGAGTGAAAAAGTCGTGCCCCCACGCTCAAGCTAACATCCAAACACGTAGAAAAACCTCCGAATTATTTTACATTCCTCGACGTTTCAACGTCCTCTCTGTCCAAAAACTCAAAAATCTTGGAGGGGGGTCATTTTTTCGTCGTACCTTCTCCGGCTGTTAGGCTATATAACAGCCGTGAAAGTATAATAATAGGGCCTAGTTTCTCATCAAAAATCGTCGCGAGAGGCTCTAAATTTGGCAGATCGCCTAAGTGTTACGTTGCCTTAGCCCTTCAAACGAAAATAAACCATTTTAACGTTATTCATTTGATATAGGACCGGATCGACCCATCTACACATTAACATGGTCTTTGGCTATACTGTAACATATAAGAGGTCTTTCGACAAAAGCCTAAAATCTTATTGAGGTTTAGACCAGACAATAAATGCCTGAGCCTGGGAGCCCTTATGCTCTATGGGGATCCAAATGGGGATCCAAAACGGCTGGAAATTTTTGTGGATGCGATGGCCCGAATATGTCGTGCTTCATTCTTTATCAGACAAAAAAAAAACAACAACAAAAATCATTTTCTGAAGTGTGTAAAGTTAAAAGTTTCATTTTGAGGGAAGAATAAATCATAAACTTTTATAATGACACTAAACACTGGTACTTACTCACGGGTTCGCATCTCACGTGAAGTTTTTCGGGTTTTCTTCACGTACCTAACACTTCAGTGGAGGCCAGTTTCGGTAGAAAGTACTCCTTTGTTCAAGTGGTAATTAATTCCATCTGTCAAGATAGGCCGTGACCTTATCCCATCAATCTAATTCACAAAATTTTAATCTAGACTTAGAATATTGCTGGCCAACCAGTGCCGGCCCGAGGCAAGTTTAGAATGGAGCGACATCCTATTATGGCGCCCCCTTGGTTGCCCCTAATTTATACCCTTTAATTTTCTTTACCACTGAGGAGCCCCCTAGGACTTAGCGCCTGGAGCGGCTGCTCCGTTTGCCCTATGGTAGGGCCGGCTCTATGGCCAACCGCTCTGGAGATCCAGGATCGAATCCACAAATCGAAAAATTCCCTAGGAACTCTTCGGGCGGTGGCCAATCCCATTACTCACCATCCGCCGCCCCAATGTGGATACTAAGAGTTCCCGAAAAAGGCTATCTTAGTGCCCACAGGGCCGAAAGATTTTTTAAAAATCTACAATATTTAACATGAACCTAAAGAATTTACAATGATCACGCTGATCCATTTTTTTTAATACTCTTTCCGCCCTATGGGCACTAAGAGTGCCTTTTATAGCAGGCCCATTATGGGTTCGGACAGGCCCACAATGGGGTGACCGGGTGATGAGGGACGGGGCCCGACATATCCGAACGGACCACCCTTCGAAAAATTCCTGGGGATTTTTCGATCTGTTCGGATTCGAACCCGGGTGCCCAGAGCGGTATGCTGCCACCTTGACCGCTCGGCCTTCCTGCCTACGCTGATTCATTATGGTTGCCATCAATGAAAAACGCCAAATTTTCTATTCGACTAACATAATTGTAAGGAAAACGAGGAGGCAATTTAATGGATTCAATCGCAAATTTCACAGTTTGTCAGAAAATTTTCAATACAAACGAAATTAAAAGTCCAGACACGAGATTGTATGTACCTGGATGTCCCCTTCCAGTACATGTATAATAAATATGTACTGGAAGGGGTCATCCATGCATGGACGAGCAATGCCATATTTATCGACTTATCAGATAAGAGAAAGGAAAGATTTTTTCGGCCTTGGTCGAGAGGAGGTTGTCGGTTACACAAACTTTACACATTTAATTGAGTGTGCAGGTTTCATGCCGGATACGGATGTGACGTATACACCATCGTGACGAAAACAGGTAAGGACGACGACAAATAAAACCAGGTGGTTGGTGACAAGAAGTGGGTCATCGACGAACACGGGAAGACACTTTGACAAGGTTATTGACCAAGACTAAGTTGGAAGTAAGTGCTGATTTTTTCTTATTTATTTATTTTAATTCTTCCCCGTGTTTTTAAAAATTAATTCCCTGTTTCTTTTGTCATTCGATATCACACTATGGTATCATTTTCCTAGCTTTTATTGCGGTGATTCGCGCGTTATTTAAGGTGGATTCGGGGTTATATCGTTTATGTTTGTATATCCTGCTTCATGACACTACACGGTGTAGTTAACTATAACCCTTTGGCCCTCTTCTTTAGAAAACTTCTCGTGCTTAAGAAGCAAACTAACTGGTTGTGCTGATGTTTTTCAAGGAGAAATTAATACTTGTAATTTATGATTTTTGGCGAATTTTACCGCTCGTCTTTCGCCCAATTTGTAATGTTTTAATTTACAATTTAATTTGTAATGTTTTCATTTTAATTTTAATAATTTTTTCGCTTAAAGTTAAACTGTTCAGTCTTCTCGTAAGTACACTTGGCACTTGTTTAAAGCTGATATTTCATAAATTTTCTCCAAATTACAAACATTTGCACTGTGTAAAATGAAAAAAATTAACTAAACAAAGATTTCTATTGCTGAATTACATGAAATATTCAAAATTAACGCGCTATAATTAATGCTAAAGGTGAAAGGTCACGTACGTGGAAAATCCATTAGAAAACACCCATTCTGATGCTAAATTTTATTAAATTTTACTCTTTAGAGGGTACAGAAACGTGTTAAGATACGAAATTAATGCCTTTTTTAACATTAATTTTTAAAGCTTTTCTTAAGAGTGAGGCTGTGTTCAGATGCAGTACAATATCCTTTCACTTTCGACCTTGTAGTTGAGAAACCAACAAAATACTTTACACTTGGGCGGACATTTTTTTAACATTTAATTTATATTTTTGTAATTTCTTTAAATGTATTTAGTTATATTACAAGCGATGACTTCGTTTCGCACGTCAGTTTATTAAGGAACGAGTTGAACGGGTACGTGTTAGATACGTGATTCATACAGATAATTTGCTACCTTAGTTATGCACTAAACTCTATTTATATAATCTTTAACAGGAAGTAAACTGCATCGATACGCCCTCATCATGATAATATTTTGGGAATTAAATTAACAAAGGAATGGTTAATGTCTTTAATGGTTATAACCGCTTTCATGCCCATGTATTTGGCACATAACCGACATAAATTGGCTTCCATCATGCAATTTTCTCGCTCGTTTTACCATAGAAATTGATTTTTGCATACTTCTGTACGCAGGAAATACTAAATTTCAGAAAATATTATAAAATTTTCAATGGAAATCTAAGTAAAAATGAATTAAAATCGTTTTTACTGGCGTGTGTGAAAGTGAAATCGCATTTCTGTGGAATATAATTTGAATTTTGTCGAAAAATAAGCACGTTTAATCGTTAATTAAATACAAATAACAATGTATAAATATAAATAAAAGTGAAATTTATATTCTATAGAGTACAATTTCACTTTTATTTACACTTCATAAATATTTGAGCCTCGCGAAGCATCTCATTTTACTTATTTTTTGGGAGATATTTTAATTTATTTTTGTAAATATTTGTGAATTATTTACCAATACGTCTTTCTTATTTACTTACATACAATCTGTTTTTTATACAATAAACAGTGATCGGGGAAGGATTTGCACATAAAACTAAGCAAGCTGCAGCTTGGGGCCTCGTCTTACCGGTCTATAACTTAAGTCCTTACATTTTTACACGTAATGTTATTTGGTAGAGGGGAAGGGCCTGTTAGGTATTACAGTTTAGAGCCACGACAAGTTTAAATTCTGCCGTTAATTGAAAAATAAGGATCGGACTTAGACTTGTTGTGGTCCTAAACTGTAAACTTAACAGGCCCTTCCCAAATGTTACAGAAATTCCATGAAATTAGGCAAAAATTTATTAAATAACTTAAAATTTTTATACATAAATTTCATTATAAAGTACATATTTATGTATTTTATATGTAAAATATTACATCTTCCATAACTAATTCATGTTAGACTTATAAATATTTATATTATTATTATTGCACATTATGATATTAAATATATAGAAATTCCTATTATTAGATACGGCAGTGAAAGCATTATCGTAATTTAATATATAGAAATTTAGCCAAAACAATAGCAAGAAAGGAGATTATGTGTAGAGCGTACACGTTTTATATGCAAATTATATACATTATCTGTAATAATATATATATTTACCAACTTATTTTATTATAAAATGATTTTTTGGGGACACTTTTCGTTATTTTCAGCCGATAAAGTATAAATGTTTACTTTTATTAATGCAAAATGTTGCGTATAAGCTTCAGTGGTCTTGTGTAAGAAATGGGGTGACTCTAGGCATTAATGCTGATCTTAAACTAATATTAAACATTTTATACCATTAATATATATTATTAAGTGTATGAACTGTTCTCTGGTAAACAATGCTATTTTCTATGGAAGAGTGAAGACTTTTTTGGATGCCATTTTGTCTTCAGTTTAGAAAACTGAAGACAAATGCCATTTTGTCGAGGAGCATGGTTTAAAACATTAAAATATTTAGTTATTTATATATTTTATTGGTTTATTACATAAATAATGTGTAGAAAAATGCAGAAACGGCTTCTATATACAGTATTAAATGCACTTTTCTATACATTTCCTTTCATAAATCCCTGTTTTCACTTTTAAATGCACTTTTCTGTATATATATTTGCCTACTTTCCACACACACATATATGCATTAAAAACACATATTTTTATATATGTATACTTTATTTATTAGTTATTTTGAGAACAAAAACATTAGATGCATTTTTGGTTGTACTGTACACAACACAAAAACACAGTAGAAAACTATATGCTTCCATAATGAATTCACAGTTAAGCTCAACCACTTTCTATAATACACAGTATATTACAAAATATTACAGTCAGGTCAAGAGACAGACCATTCAGAAATGACATAAGACGTTTTACGTAATATTAAAACAATTTAAAACAAAAAAATAAGAGGCATAAACACTGCAATTCAAACTTTAAAGCCTTATTTTCTACATTTAAGTTCAATCAAGGAAGTAATTAATATAATCAGGTAGAGTACATACTGTACATGTGGGATTAATTTTTGCAAGGATTATTACAAGAAATAAAACTATAAATACATAAGATAAATGATTTCCTTGTCCTAAAACTTAAGTTATTTTATATAATATTTATAAGTAGAGTTTATAAGTCTTGAGGCTTTAATAAACATATAAAGACTGACAGCTTATATGCCCCATTTTTCCAAACAGGTTTGAAACATGCTGAGCTCCTCTTTCTCCTTCTCTCTCTTTCTCCTCTTGCTTTTAATTTCCTAGAAAATAAATATATAGCAAAATTATATACATAATTTTTATATATAAATGTATTTAGTACATAAAATAATATTTGTTTTAATTATATGAAATAAAATTCTTATGAAGAAAATATGTGAATATTCGTTTTCTGGTGCGATGCAACTCATACACAGTCACTTCGATTGATAATTTACCCTTAAAAACTTTAAAAAATTCCTGAAATTAAGCATTTTTCTAAAGAAATAAGGAATTAACTTTAATAACTACACGCTTATTACTCAATGTATTTATTTATTTTAATGGGGTGGCCTAAATGTCAGTTAACTGACTATTGAGTCACCCTTTACCGTACACTCTGGAGATAATTTATGGATTATATTTAAGAGATTTTTGAGTAGAACTGTGAAAAATTTGATGTTAAACTTATTCGAAGTATCAATTAGCGCATGGTCTACCAATTAAACCCCTCGAATTTCGTATTTATGAAGGGGGTTAATTCGCGGTAGGTACATTAAAAATAATCTGGTGGAACGAGAAGTTGTTAAAGTGCACCTTTATCCTGATATTCTACTAAGTCCCATTATAAATATCTTCATAAAAACTTTCCAGACAACAGAAAAACAGGATTTTACACCCCTCTTTTCTCATATTGCAAATAGTTACGCCTTATATACACATAGGCTATATATTGGATATATATAGGCCTGTACAGGGTTTTTTTCTGGAATGTTTACTTAATTTAGAGCAGCGAGACGAATTTAAGACATTTTTCGTGATGCAGATCAAGTCATATTTACTTATACCGAGTTACGAAACAGTTTTTAACATATTTACACAAGTTTTTAAGGTATTTTATCTGATATTTTTAATATAATATCTTAAAATAGATTAATTTTTTAATAATTTTAGCATGTTTATAACTTTATCGATCGAAATTTTTGAATTTTCTTCAACCTTAAATTAACTCCTTATTCAAGCAGAATACGGTCGAACCTCCGAACAATGGCCAATTTTTATGTCCTGGTCGGTGGCCGTTGTTCGGAGGTTTGACTTCTATTTGTTATTTAAGAATATTTATAGTCTATATATTATGAATAAATGCATTGTTTTAGTAATTTATACCTAAAAGAAATCATTATTACAATTACATTTATGAATAAATGTACAGGTATATTTTAACCAGGAAACAAATGAAAGTTTTAATCGGCGCATTAGAGAGGTGAGAAGGGAATCGAGACATTCATACCCTATACAATTATGGCGCAATTATAGAGATCGAGACACAAGTATGGGCTCGAAACACACATACGTATGGAGCTCGAGACACTTACAATCATGAACTCGAGTCACTCACCATCCCTATTCGCGAATAAAATCAATAAAGAGATTTTTTTGTTATTTATCAGAAGTAAATTTTCATTTCTATCATTTTCCTGTTATTTTTTACATAAAAGACTCAATTTTTGGGTCCGAGGCACGAGTTAAATCTAAATCCATCTATGCTACTCTATTCTGAGCTTGACTATACTTAAGTTATATTCAATAATAATTCTCCATTTATTGATTTTTCGTATTTAATTAAGTTGATTTTAAATTAATTGAAGTTTTTTTAAAATATTTTAATTTTAAAATCCATTAATTTTATGTCTTCACTTATGGGATATAAAATTAAGAATTAAATAATAATAATTTTATTCTTACTTTTTATCTTAATTCTGTCCTAAAGATTCTCTAATTCTACTCTAATTTTATCCTAGATATTATCTAATTTTATTCTAAATATTCTCTAATTTACTCCTGATTTTATCCTACTTTTATCTTAACACAACCCTAAAGATTACAAAAAAGAACCAGATAATTTAGACGACAAGAATCTAATTTCTTTACTAATAAAAGTTGTCATTAATATTTGCATAAATATAAAACGTGGACCTAAAACAGCATTTAATTCCATCTTAAAATTTATTTTAATTACAGAAAACCCTATAAAATTTGTAATAATCGCTAATATTCGTGTTTACGGAAAAAAGGAATGAAGAGAAAAATCAAAAAAATGTAAACAGTAGTTATACTGGTTACACGAGTTAATTAACTTTCAGATTTATATTTGAAAATTAATTAAGCTCATCCTTTTGTTGTCGAGAATTCTACAACTGGACTGAAATTATAATTTGTTTTTCATTAAAATATATGATATTTTTTTTAAAGAATCTGAGAAATTCGGCTAGTTTAGATAAGGCGTGTAAGGAAAATGGCACGTTTTTTTTCTTTAACTTTCCCTTTTGTTATACGTAACAGAGGGAAAAGTATGGCGATCGGTCAAAAAAATGACCTCCTCAAAACATTTTATATTTCTGTATTCAGTGGATCTTGAAACGTCGAGGAATTCAAAAAAATTTGGGTTTTTTTTTCTGTTTGTATGGATGTAAGCGTGTGTGGAATACCATTTTGGTCACCTGTTTGAAGCTTCATAATTCCCGTGCTTTTTGTCGAAAATATCTGAAATTTTGCAGGGTGATTTGTGTATTAGGGACATTGATGCCCCTAATACACAAATTTTGGTGGTCAAAGATCTAAGGGGTGGGAAGATAGACTCGTCAATGCGTGCTCACGACACAGCAAAGCGATCCTCAAATTCTTCCTAAGCTCTGTACTGCATATTCGTTGTCACTTCTCCACAGCAGTCACAATTCTATAGCTCCTACAATTCCACTCCTGTGTTCTGAAGATTCTGCAGATTACTCATGGTACACAATGATGAGTGGTTCCGACTTTGCAAACTGCGGAACTCCTTCTTTTGTAGAGTCGTCGCTATTTTTGTCTATGGCGCTTACAACAAGAAGTGACACTCAGATTACTTCGGTGGTGCGTTTTCCTATGGGCAAAAAAGTATCCCCACCAACAGGGACTTCAAACCAATCTTTTATAAGAAAATATTTTCCTTGAAGAAAAATGTCTTAAGTCAGAACTGTACGTGGAGCCCCATAATTCAAATTCGCCTGGGCCCCAAGAAGGTACAACGCGCCACTGAGTTATTGTGCGGACATTATGTACATTGCACACTTCTCAGATAATAATTAACATAATTACAATGATTTAAATTGGTAGCATTCACTTTGGAAGACCCCGTGTTTAAGGGTCATTAATAAATTATAATATTTTACGTATATTTTTTGTGGGAGAATTATCTTAAGAAAGATTGGTGATAGACGGACAAGATGGCGCAGATTAAATAATATAACTCACCACAAAATTTTACTTAAAATTCTTGCATAAACATACAGTAAACATGGGAATCTGTACTTTTCTGTTTAAAAATCATCCGAATTTTCATATATTTGAAAATAATTTAGATAAATTAGATTTGTTTAGACTATTTACGAGTAACTCAGCCATTGTATATCAGATTGGCAGTCGAATAAATCACAGATGTACGAAAGTAATGGGTGGTTTCACGATTGTAGGAGAACGGCATTAATAACAAGTCACGTTATTGGTAAATTACACTTAAACATATGTTCTCAATTCTTGAGTTATGCTCTCAATAACGCGTTTATTGAGAATTTTAAGCATTCAAAAACTTAATTTTATTCTTTATTCGTAGAAATTTGGTGAAAGGAGCTCGGAATTTCAATCACGAATCTTTCATGCTCCCTCAGGAACATTAAAAATGACCGTTGTTTTGTAAGAATTTAAAAGAAAATTTCTGGGAAAATGGACACTGTTTGCAGGTTATTATGTAACCATTCAAAAAAGAAAAACTGACCACTATTGAAGATTATATTGTACGTAGTATATCGTAGAGTTCCTTCACAAACAAATCTTTCTTAGATTTTAATGCTTACAAAATAAGCATTATTTTTCTTTGGAAAATTAATTTTGTAGCAATATTATCTGATTACAAATAAACTTAAAATTTTAAATCTTACTTGTTTTTTACTTTTTAATTATAAAGTAAAACCTGTGTAAAACCGAATCGCACGGTACCAAAGTATCAATATTTTTCCCGTTTAGGCACGTTTTACTTTATATTATTATAATTCATTAAAATTATCTTCAAAGAAGGTAAATACTAGACTGAAAGAGATAGAAAATATGTACTTTTTACTTGTAAATTTCCTATTTACCGCCTCTTTCGGCATGGAAATTTAGCTACAATGAAATCTTGACAATTTTCTTTTTCTTAAATTTTTCATTTTTATGCCGAAATAGAGAAAATTTATTTAATTTCTACTGAATTTAGACCGCATGCAAAGAAAAAAGTAGGACAAAGTTACGTGTATATTTGGTAACACGCACAGTGTGTGGTCTACCGCATAAAAATGCCATTCTACGAATAAAAATAAGACTTTATTACTGAATTACACATCGTTATTAATAATTTTAAACATTTTTTTTCATTAAAACCGCATAATTTCGCTTAGCAAAGGATATCGAGCAATATAACTTCATTACAATAGCCAGAGTCACTTTGTTCCTTTCCTCTCATAATAATTAAATTCTACTTTAACTGTAAGCTTTAACTATTAATATTTTTATAGTTAAATACTTTAAAATTTCCATCATCATCATCAGCATCATCTTTGTGCGTTAAAACGGGATGTTAAGACCTCATTGAGATTTTCTTGATGTTTTACATATTTCGACCTTTCCCTTAACACTGAACCATTTTTAAAAACTAGTTTAGCAATTTTAATGGGTGATATTAAGGTCTGTGATAAAAAGAGGAAGGTAATTTTCGTTATAACACATCATTTACACAATTTAATTTTTTATCCGGGTTTAATATTAATATTTAAGTGAGTAAAGATGTATTGGTACGTGTAATAGCATACACAACACAACACACAGTAGTAATTGTGTACAAGTTTAATACCGATCACTTCAGGACAAAAATAAGCCCAAATTTCCCCTAAAAAACTGCATTTTTCAAGCATTTCGCGCGCTTTTAGTATAAATTTTTCCTCTAAAACGTCGTATTTCTTTACTATAAAAAGCCATTAATGTTTAAGGACGATTTATTTATATTTTATTAAATTTCCCTCGATATAACGCTCTCTCTTTGGGAAATCTACTCGACGAATCTATGAAAGGAATTACAGTAATGAGGAATATTTAGGGCAAAGATCCGCTGTGGCATTGGCCTAGTTGACGTCCACGTAAAAACCATTTGGACATTTAACCACTTCTATCCACCTATAACAATTTTTTTTTTTTTTTTTTTTTTTTTTTTGTTAATCTTGTATTCATTCTCATCAGGTGAAAGAGAAAGAATGACCATCCTCCGTAGCGTACCAGACGCCACCGAGAAGTGAGTACGTCTGAAAACAATGTCACTCTCAAGTAAGTGTTTCTCCATCTTCGATTTAATATTTAATTAATTAAAAAACAACAAAATATTCCTCTTCTTTTAGAAATTTATTGCTTCTATTATTTATAATACACTTATTTTCTATATTTTTATCTGTTTCTAATTTTGTTTTGTACTATGATACTAAGATAGAAGTCTGGTTGACAATCAATAGGGTCGACCAACATTTAGCCCGGTGGATAAAACCATTGAACACTGGTCGTGGGTTCGTGCCGGAACAATGGGACTGCAACGTGGAATTTTCCGGGTTTTCTTCACGTTAGTAACGATTAAATAGGGACCAGTTTTTCATAGAAGATCTCCTGGAAGGTTTTCCTCCCCCTCAGATCGCCCATTAATCGCGATCTGCCAAGGGGGTGTCTTATATATCAATAATAAGGCATACCCCTCGTATACTAATAAAACCGAATCAATCCAACATTGATGAGAGATGAAGAACGTCCACGATCAAATTATGATCAGGATCCTTTACAGCGATACGTTAATGTTTGGCTTATCTGGCCGTTTATACTAGAATTTTTTTAAATTCTTTTCGCCCTGTGGGCAATGGAGGGCCTTTTTAGCAAGCCCATTTTGGGTTCGGCCAAGCTTATAATGCGGACACAGGACGGTGAGGAATTGGGCCCGATATATCCGGGACCTACCGCCAGTCAAAAATTCCTGGAAAGTTGCTGTACCGAATTCGATCCCGGCTTCCCCGGAGCGTTAGGTTAACGCCTTAATCGCCTCGGCTATCTGGTTGTCTGCGTGATTGTTTGTGTGTATGTAAGTGTTAAGATAAAATAATATTATAATGACTGATAGAATTAGACTATTAGTTGCTTCTTCCTTGTTTTCATTTCCTTACTTTCCGCTGATTTTCTAATGATGATCATGGAGCAAGGCATACATATCTCATTTTTTTCAACAATACAACAAGAATAATTAATGATAACTTTTCAAAAATTTGCCAACAAACCGCAATCACATTGAAATTTGATTTTTTCTCGTATTTCTTCCTATATTCTGAACACTGATAATTGTTCATGTGTGCGCCTGACCAATGGGCCGGCCGCTGAAGTTTTCCGGATTTTCTTCGCATGTCCAACAACTACATAGAGGGCAGTTTCCCATAGAAATCTTTTCTGGAGAGACTCTCTTGGCAGATCGCCTACGTGTTGCGCTGTCTTATTCCATTAGTGAAATGTAATTCAATCCACTTTTTGGTTCCTGCCCAATTTTTTTAGAGACGTTCTACAAATTGAGATATGCGGGGCATTCCCAAAAATAAGGTGCAAGCTATTTTTTTACATAGTCGCCATTCGTTTCTAAACACTTTTCTCAGCGGAAAGCAGGAACCAAAATTCTGGGAAAAAAATTTCCACTTATTGATTTGAACAGGTCCATGACTGCTTCTTTAACTTAATCATCATCTGAGAACCAAGATGTTTGTTAAGAGGTCCAAAAAGATAAAAATCAGAAAGTGTTAAGTATTATAGTTAAGATGGTCCATTCCTTTCCATTCATACTGACATGCAGTATGTGTACCATCATGCATATAGTCTAGACTTAGCACCCTGATTATACGGAACGATCTGTGATTAACCCTCCATTCTCTGTTCTGTGAGCACCAAGAGACTCTTTCTTTTATATTCATTCGTGGGTTCGGCACAGTGGAGCGACTTAATGGTGAAGGATGGGGCCAGACGTATCCTGAAACCAATTTCCGAAAAATTCCTTGGGTTTTTCCACCAACCTGATTAGACCCCAGGTCCCTACAGCAGTAATCTGACCCCTTAACCACTCGACAATCCGACTATCACGTGCCCATCTTGGCACACTTAATGGCTATTTCTAAATCTTAGACACAGCAATCCAAGACAGCTACAAAAATACCGGACTTACAGCAAACTTGGGCACATGAAATTCGGTAGGAAGCTAATTAAAATATTAATTTTTATTGTAATTACAAATTTTAAAATTAACATAAATACCAGAACAAACCTGATTAGCCAGAAACTAAGAAAATCTTTCTTGTTTAAGTAGATCAAGTTCCTTAGAAAATTCCTTGATTTAGAATTTAGATTTTCTTGTTTAATTTTGTTAAAAGAGGGGGTTTTATTTTAGTTCCAAACAGTTTAAAATGCATAAAATGAATGAGAACGATATTTTTAGAGTAACTTTCGTAAGCAATTAACAGAGATTTGATTTTCAGAAGAGACCTTACGAAAATAAAGATCTCGAGGGAGTAGAATATAATTAATTCCTCATAGTTGAAGCATTATCGTCTTTTTTCGTATTGCACAAGAATATTAAAATCAATGAATTTTCTTTTATTTGTATACGGCAACGTGACATATGGGCAATCTGACAAAGGGGAGAACTTTCTATGAGAAATTACCCCTATATAAGTGTTACTAACCTGAAAAAACCCGGAAAACCACACGTGGCCAGCCCATGGCCAGACATGCACCCACGACCAACTACCAGCTTTTGGTGGTTTTATCACCACTCGTCCATTTGGTGGCCCATAAATTCGTTTACAAAATATTTTTTATTGTGATATTTTGAATATTTTCAATTTTCTCAACACATTTCAGTGGTTTCACGTGTTTTGTGAAGACTATCATTGGATGTAATGATGAAGCTAGACAGGATTTATACATAAGCTAAAGAAGATGCAGATTAAGGCCTCGCGTTGTGATTCTATTGCTTAAGGCCTCGCGTATAATTATTTGGTAGAGAGGAAGAGCTTGTTTACTATTTGTTACAGCTTAGGGTCTAAATCTAGCCATGATAATAAGTATAATGATTACCAATTGTTGAGAGTAGTTAAAGAGTTTCGTAATATCACGAGTAACGTTTATAGTAATTATTAATATAATATTTATAGTTATTTATTTAGAATTTCCTGTCTATAACAGCAAAAAAATATATATATATATTATAAAACTCGTATTTTTGACACAGTAATTAAGTATGCCAGTATTAAGAAAATTTTTCAAATTAATTGACATCGTAGGAGGCAAGTTCTATTGTTTACAGTCTTATTTGCATAATTTTAACTTAGAAATTATAATTAGAACTACCTTGGAAAATAGGTAGAAATCTGCTCCAAGTGATAATAAAGGATGAGCTCTATTGACAGAAGATAAATTGATTCGTTACTACAGAATTTCTATGCATGTTTTCTATGCATAATTGTTTTTTATGCATCTAACTCAATTTTAACAATCAGAAGTCATTAAAGCATTCCTGACTGTTATTTTTCAGTGTTCGATTGTTATAAGTTGCAGTTGAGAAATATTCTCTTGCATAACTTTCGAAGTGAATTGTGACTGTTGTGAACCCAGCACAACACTCTTCTATTGTATTTTAACCGGTATCTACCGGCTAAAATATAATAGTCAGAGTGTACTGAAACCACCGTACCGAAATTTTACAATTAAAGAAAAATAACTCAGGATACAATCTGACGATAGGGATAGTAGGGATGCTCTTTACCTTGTGGTTAATCTGTAAACCATTATCTGGGAGGTGGTTTCTATGTCTTATTCTAAAACCTAGCGTATTATAGAACATATAAGGAACCTTTTCTCGACATATTAATCTTATTTTAAATAGAAAAATTCATTAAAATGTTCATCTAAGCAAATTTATGTATTGCAGTTACGACCTACTGTAGGATTACACAATTTCATAGGATGCTTCTATTCTACGAATGAAAATTGGAGCATAAATAGTCTATATTGCTTTAATCTATGGAACCACGTTTAAATATATTACCAACAACTGTTTTTTATTGAAGTTTATTTACTCATCTGGTATTTACTTTATAGGTAGGTATGCCATGTCGACGTTACTGATAATGCTAACTTATTTGCATCTGATGTTCTCCTCTCCGATCTGTTCTACTAATGGGTATTATAACCGAGATAAAATACAGGATCAATCGAAGTTATATCTTTTGGGCCCTCAATACTGTCCAGAAACGGGACGTACCGTCTGCACTAACGTGGCTTATTACCCAGAGTAAGTATCATTATCTTTATTGCTTGTTTTACTTAATAACGAAGCAAACTAAACAACAAACAATAGGAAAGAAAATTAGAAAGAATTGCTATTTTTGTAGTGAATGTGCACAATAAAAAAAACACAGGAAACTTGTCAATAGTTCTATCACTTCTGCAATCTTTTCGCTTGAGTTAACGCTCAATTTTAACTCTTGTTTACTACCTTCGTTTCTTCTAGTGTGCTTTTCAGTATTCGTTCTGTATCGACTTTGATATACAATAAACCTGTCTAAAACGGACTTTACATAACGAAAACCTATCTAAATAGAAAATGGACGATTTCCTATGTAAAATACTATTATAAGCCGGAACCTGTTTAACGCGGAAACATATTTTTCAGTACCGAATACAGTAAATCTGTTCGAAACGGAAACCTGCCTAAATGGAGAAAAAATAGTTCGGAACGCAGCGATTTTCAGTGTTTAAAAAAACTTGTTTAAAACGGAAACCTACCAAACAGGAAAATATTCTCCGGTTTACACAAATTTTACTGTATATAAATATATTTAAACATTCTATGGAATTCATGCTGCTTGTTGTATCTGTCAAAAGCTAATGTTACAATTATTATTGTAGTCTATTATATTATAAAAAAAAACCCTCGATATAGCGTTTCTTCTTAATGCTACGACAATACTTGTAAACGGATCTTCCTCACAAATATCAAATAGAGAACGCTTCAGTATTTGTAAATTATTAAATGTATAATTTACAAATGACATTGTCATTATCATTGTCATTACAAATGACGTTGTCATCATCATATAACGTTACTGTCAAGCTCCTAAACACGAACATACGTTTAGTCCTCATAACTATGTGTCCATTCTATTATTTTAGGTTTTTCGTTTTAGCGCCGGAATTTCAGAAGGAACGAATAATGACGCTAAATCGAAGTTTTACTGTATATGCTTGATTATTTAGCATCGAGATGAAATAAGTTGAAAGAATTCCTCAAATTGCTGTTATACAAATTGAGCAAGAATATAGCAGTACTTACATCAGGACTCTGTTATATAAAAATTACAAGTTACAAGGCTTTTTGATGGCACACGCTGGTGTGCCACCAAAAAACAATCAGTTTTTCATCTTTTAAAATTTAACTTGTAAACATTTATATCGAAATACAATGCAAAACTAAATATAATAGACGCACATATACAGTCAAATCTCGATATAGCGATCTCCGGAATAGCGTCACCCACGTAAAGCGCCAATGTAAGAGGATCCTCTCCATAAATATTAACACAAGAATCCCTATATGAAAAGTACTAAATTTCCAATTTTGCCTTGCAAATGACGTTGTTATAAACTGTCAATTTCTTTTTTGAAGTTCTTCGGTTTAGCGTTACACTCGGTTTAACGTCAATTTCGAATTACTTTCTCTAATTACTTAGTTAAAAATTATATTATACGGTAAATTATTGAGTGTAGTTGTTTATTTTATGATATTTTATATGATTTTGTAGGGATCGAATTCTTTTGATTCTAAGCAAAACGAAGGCTCAAGGGTTTAATTTGAGCAGCTTATTCTTTGACGAAAGGGAAGGAGATGCTTATCCAAATTTATCACAGTTGCCAAATATGCCTTACGATCAACCCACTTCGGTTCATCACGATTTTATCGTTCCACAATATTCTCATTCCACTTGGAGTAAGAAGTCCCAGTAAGTATGAAATTCCTATTGGTTTATGCTAACAGATGATTTATTCCTGATAAACTAATAAATAACAAAGTAAGTCTAGAGATTCCAGAAATTTAGAAAAATCACCTGGGCCATTCAGATTCGATCTTATATTCTAGTTGTTTGTGAATGGCAACGCGATACGTGGGCGATCCGTCGAGATGATATGAAAAACTGGCTCCCATTTAGGTATTCCTAACGTAAAGAAAACTCTAAAAACTCCACGTGGCCAGCCCCCAAACCCGTAATCAACTACAAGTATTCAGTGGTTTTATTCATTCGGCCATTGATGGGTCGATATTGTAGTTATCGAAGTTATTTTATAAAGTGGGAATAAGAAACAAAAATGTGATTAACACGAGGAAATTGAAGCAGATAAAACTGTTCATTCTGGGTACTTGAACTCTTCTATAATCTTGAAGAACTGACATTGAAAGAGAAATTATTTATTGTGACATCGTCACAATGCCGAGCTGCAATTTTTAATCATATTTCTAATTTATTTAATTTAAAGTATACGCTCTCTATCTCAAATTAGTAGTGGCTTTCCCCTGTACATCATACTTTTCCTTTAACAATAAAGTAGTGTCGGTCATCTAACATCTTTCGGGGGTAAAATTTTTGAATTGAAGTAACATGACTTCTGATCTATATCGGAAGTTTGCATATAGTTAATCGGGGCTTCTTTCCTCTAAGCTTTCTATGTATATCTCACCTTTCATTTATTTAACTCCGTTCTCGAAATTAATTAAGGAAAGACAGACAAACAGACGAACAGTGGGAATTTACAGGTCTAGTTTTTTCAAATTGTAGCCCAATTATTTGTGTTTATTTTACGTTTAAAGTTTGGACATGAAATAGTAAATCAAGCTACCTTATGTGTATCTGAAGCCATTTTGTCTTTTAAACGAGGGGAAAATTACGAACGAATCTGTTAATGTATAAAAAGCCCAAAATAATTATCTTTTTATACATAAAAAAGAAAAAAAGTTCTATTTATTAGCTAGCTTATCTGTCTTCTTATAGTGCTGGGATGGTGACGTACATTGATACATTCACTCGATCCTATTTACATACTTATAGTTAACATATATTTAACTCTAGCAATCTTCTTTCCATGTCATGTCATCACCCTCACATTTTTTTTCCGGTGACAATTTCAAGTGGGAGATCATTCTTTTAACTTCCCTTCGGAAGTCTCCAGCCAGATATCATTTCCGGGTTGATGACGCATTCGATTTGTCACGATAAAATGCACTAATAGATGCAAAAAGAAATTTATAATATAAAAATAATGTAAATCAAATTATCTTATTTTCGTGTGAACACACGAAAGAACACCGCAGAAATTTATAGAACGAAAATGAAACCTTCTCATAATCTGTACCACCGTGTAATTTAAGTCTATGAGATTATCTGTTACTTCATAGGCGTGAATTCTTAATTGCGATTGAGGAGTTTTATGGAATAAAGTATCTGAGTGTACATAGCTACCTTTTTTCAGTTATGGTTTTATGGATACGGATATTTCCCTCGCTATAATAAGCACTCTATTCAAACATATTTAACATTTACACTTTATTCACTTCATAGCAAACCACATGCAAAAAGAACAGTTTTTTGAAATTTTTGAAAACATCAAAATTTAACTTAGGTGCCGTTTTCTAGGGAACTCTTTAATTTACAATTGGCATATAACACTCTCTCCCTTTTAATTGTTTTTATAAATACAAACAACCCGCGGGTTATACTCAGGAAAATGCAATAATGCTAGTAACATCTTTCAAAAAGAGATGGCACTTATAATTGATTGTTTGAACGCCATTTTATTTTCAAGACATCGCGGATTAAATTTTAACGCTTTGTAGCGCGTAAGATGTTTCACTGTTTTGAAATTTTGAATTTTTCTGGTATTATATATAACATTCAGCCTTACTCATTATACAATAAGAAATTTTAATACAATAATGAAATTTCCGAGATCAAATTTGACGGATTTTGTCCACGTGTCTAACACCTAAACAGGGATCAGTTCCCACTGAAAGTCCTACTGAAAGACAATTTCCTTGCCAGAATGCCTATGTCTTGTCTTTCTTATTTCATCACTCCACTCTGCATCACATTTGGCTTAGGTTCGTGTAAATTCTTAGATTTAAACCAGAAAGAAAAAAGAAACTTAAGATTTCTAATAATTTATATTATACAGTACTTCATATATTTAATATAAATTGCTATAACATAAGATATGATCTTCTTTTTATAGTAGCGTAGGGAAGAGGAGTGAAAATTCAGAACCAGCGTGTGCTACCAGATCCGAATTTGTCTTTCCTAGAGCAGCTCTAAACGATAAGTCTCAATGGAAGTATGTGATTAATCTTCCGAATCGAAATCCTAATTATAAACAGATCGTTCGAATAGAACTTTGTGCGTAAGTATCTTCATGTTTCATGTGATAATTGATTGCTTTTATTAACTTAAAAATGGTTAAAGTTATATGTTTATCAAATTTTATATATACTAATTAAAAAATTTAAATAAATAATAAGATCTAAGAAACAAAATACCTCGCATTCTTGCTAATCCGAACTAATTTTGTTCACTCTTCCACTAAGTGTTCAATCTAAAAATAAGTGGATATCATCAATTAGTTTTTAAAAACGTAAAAGTTTTTTGCAAAATTAATGGGTACTGCACACTTTAACATAATATATATGTACCAAATACGATATAAAATTTTTATTTTTAAAATACAGTCAAACGGCGGCCATTTTTTCAGGAATGTTGAGCATATAAATGCATACAAAACCTCCAAGCAACGGCCATGTTTCTGTTAGTCGCCGTTGTTCAGAGATTTGACTGTATATAACCTTTATCTTTTTGAATTCTTCTTCATTTCCTTTTCCTTATAGTCTATAGAACCTTGCTCCCTTTTTACTTTTCCGGCTGTTTATATATAACAGAGGGAAAGTATGGCGATGGTCAAAAAATGACCCCCCCAAGAATTTTACATTTCAGGACTCGGGTGATCTTGAAATGTCGAGAAATGCAAAAAATCCAAGGGTTTATTCTGTATGTATAAATTTAGTGTGTGTGAGCATGGGGAGCGATTCTGTTTGCCCTGTTTGAAGCTTAATAACTCCTGTGCTTTTTCACAAAATTTTCTGAAATTTTTCTGGAAGGTTTCTTTATTACAGGGATTGATGCTCTTAAATTTTGGTGATTAAAGGTCGAGTGGTGGGGAGATAAACGCGGTAGGATGCGACTTAATGACGATTTTACTTGTTATTAGCATTTCCAATGTTTTATAAAACCCACCCATATCCTGAAAATTAAGCTTTTGCCATTTTATAATAGTTAAAAATATAAAAGTTTTTAAAAGAAAATATGATAACAGATGGCGCTACCAAAATTTTAAATATTGCCGGGAAAGTTAAGCAACTCGTTGCTGTATTAATGAGAAATGTAATTTTATTGTATTATTTTTTTAATTTCATTTTTGTTTATTTTAAAATTAAATTATATAATAAAATTTTCGATAAATAAATCGAATGATATTTATTTATGTGTTTCAGGTATCCTGGAAGTTCTTGTTCTTCACAACTTTCATTTCCGTTTGGATACGAAAGCCGGTGCGTTCAAAAACACATTAAAAAGAAGCTTCTATCATTAGATTCTACTGGTGAGACTATCTCAGAAGATCCTTTCTTCGTTCCTTCTTGCTGTGTCTGTCAATTGGTGCGCAATTTCAAGAGATAAAGTGAACTTTCCGAACTTACTCAACGAATTACAGGAGGACTTGAAAAGAACACGGTTTATATTTTTAATCTAGTGAAATATTACCTAGAATTTTTTTAGGTAGAAGAAGGAAAGCTGTCAAAAATATTAATATAAAAACTGTTTATGACAAGCTGTTCAATGAACAGCTTTTTTACTTTCATTTAACAGAGAGGATTAGAACTGAACAAATGATTGGCATTTATTTACTTTATTATTTAATTAAGAACATTGATTTATTTACATTTATTTACTTTAGAATATTATAATATTCAATTTATTTTATATAAAATCACTATTTACTTGAAGTACCGCAGGAAGATTCCAATCTAGAAAAAAATCCATACAGTTAGATAGGGGTTTTTCATAAATTTTTGCCAAAATTACAGAAAATATTCTGAAAAATTGTGTATTATTAATAATAAAAACAAAACACGTGGGAATTATTATGAAATATTTATTATATAACCTGATATAACGATTTTTTTCTTGAAAAATTTCGATAATTCTGAACGCGATAATCGGATATCATGGACATAATGTATGTGAACTTTGACTGTGATGTTTTCTAAATATCACTTCTACATGTAAATATTATATTGATAATTATTTAAAAATTAGTCAAGTTTATTAACATGATTACTGTATAAATTTCATTAAAAATTTGAAGTAAATATATGGAATCTTTACTAATAAATTTCTGATCTAATGTCGTTTCTTACAAGAGTATCTTCAATACTTAAATAATTAGAATAAAACTTCTTTATACTGTAAATTTGCTACTGCCATATGCCATTAATAAGTAACAAAATACACAGTGGTTCGAAACTTAGTTAACAGTAAGTTCTAAGGAAAGCTTAGAACTTAGCCCCATTAATTTTTATATTTCGGATAATTTGTAAAGAAGACTCGCTTCAAGTAGATGTTTTAATGAAATTATTTCTTCAATACCAAAGAATTAAAAAAATATTTTGCAAAAACTTTTGCATTTTTTAATATTATAAATTCTTAGATGATCTTTGTACGAATCTGTAAGTCTTTTTAATTTGAAACTTTCTGCCGATTTTAGTATTTGCAAAAACATTCTTTTTCATCTGTCCATTGTTTATCATTAAAGTTAAGATTCATCTCTGTCAAACATTTTTAATTCTTCCTTTCAATGTAAACAAACCATGTGTTATAAAAAAGTTTTATGTTAGAATAGTTTTTCAAAAAGTTTTAAAGTGCTGAGTGTTACGTTTCTTAACCCATTACATATGGGATAAGGAAACGTAACACTTGAGCGATCTGCCAAGGACTCTTGGAAGGACTTTTATTGGAAACTGGCTTCTATTTAGGTGTTAGACATGTGAAGAAAGTCCAGATAACTCCACATAACCAGCCTGTTGGTTAGGTGCGAACCCGCCACCAACCAGTATTCAGCGATTTTATCCACTGGCTCACCTGGTGGCAAGTGGATAAAATGTAGCACCAATGGGTTTGCAAGATGCTGATTACGAAATATATAACTAATAATTTTCAAGGCATTTTTCACCAGTGACTGTGTGAATAAAACCACTAAACACTGACCCCACCAATGGCCAGGCGGTGTTCGTTTCCTGAACACTGGGAGTTCCGTCGTGGGTTGGCGCCTCTCCAACCGACTGGCCACGTGGAGTTTTCCGTGTTTTCTTCACATTAGTAACACCTAAATAGTAGCCAGATTCCGACAGAACCCCCAACAGATTGCTCACGTGTCGTATTGTCGTAACCAAATAAACCACCATAATTGTGGCACGATTTCTTATGCATTTTTGAAAATAAATTATCACGTAACAAATATCGATAATAAATTTTACAATTCTTGAAATTTCTCAACAAATAATTACAATAAACGGTTATTTTTACTAAGTTTCATTGATTTGTTCTTAGAAAATCATTCCAGAATACTAATTTTTCCTATCTGAATAAGATATTAATAAATATATAAAATGTGTATTCGCGTTTCAAGTTTCCTATGTTTTGATAACAGTGAAGAAGCAACTTGCTACTCAGCGTTTATAATTGGAGTAGGTAACCGTTAATTAATGTTTTCTTTTTATTTTCCGAACAGAAAAATAATATTTTAATGCAAACTATGTGACATTTAACATAATTATATATGACTTTTTAATGACTTTCAGCTTTACTCTGTTGTCATGATCTTGGATTTGGTAACATCCAATAATCTTGCGCTTGTGGAAATATATTCTGAAGATACACGTTAGTAAATTGTTTGTAGAGTTTAAATAGTAATTACATAATTTTAATCTATATTAAATTTGGGAAATGTTTCTAATACAATAACGTTAAATAAATTATATGATTCATAGAGATCGAAGTTCCGAGATAAATACAGAATTATATTCTTTATCAGTAGTAGAATGATGTTAAGAATCGATTTTAGTGTTTGTCAGGTTACATTAATGATATGATGGGTGTTTTCAATGTATAAAGTGGCCTTTTGAAAGTGTACATTCTGCACCAAAATTTTCTGCACTGATTTAATTAACCATGAATTAGCTGACTTCATCTTCTGATTACCGTATTTCTGTTTCGGCATTGTTATTTTAGAAGTTTTGAAGTTTAATGGTAACAATTCGAAGAACTTTCTCATTGTTCGAGAACGAGATAACGATTTAGCTTGATGGAATACGGCAATGCAATACGTGGGCAATTTGACATGTGGAGTGCCTTCTGAGAGGATTTTCCACGGGGAAACTGTCTCCTATTTAGGTGTTACAAAAGTGAAGAATCCCAGAAAACTCCCACATTAGTCAAGAGTGAACCCACAACCAATTCAGAGATTTTATCCACTCGACCACTTCAAGATAATGGCACTTGCATGATAATGGTCTGGTTCGTTAGTATACAAAAAGTGCCACGGTATTTAATCGCTTGATTATTTTACCTTTTGACTATATTTGTTTTGTAAAGAAAAATTGCAAATGAAAAACACGTTTAATAACATTGAAGACATTCAAAATCTCGACTGACTTCTCAGAGCTCTCCTTGAAAAAGGTTTTCAGTAATACTTTAAAAATACAGGGTGTATCAAAAAGAATGACCTGATTTTAAAACTTTATATTTATTGATAGAAACATACTACAAAACAGGGACAAAATGCAAAATACTCACAAAATCTTAAAGTTTCAGCTATGTTATTACAAATACTCTATGTGTCCACCAGTAGCCGTACGGACAACATCTAGACAATAGCTAAATTCGTCATACACTCTATGTTTAGCGGCCGGATGGCCGAGCGGTCAAGGTAGCAGCCTACCGCTCTGGAGGACCCGGGCTCGAATTCGAATGGGTCGAATAATCCCCTGGAATTTTTCGGGGTGGTCTGTTCGGATATGTCGGACACCGTCCCTCACCACTCGACAGCCCCATTGTAAGCCTGGCCGAACCCATAATGGGCTTGCAAAAAGAGGCTCTCTTAGTGCCCACAGGGCGGAACACTAGCGTAGCGTAGTAGGGGCGGCCCGCCCGGGCGTCACTTTTTAGGGGGCGGCAAAATTCCACAATAAATAATAATAATATCTCGTAAGAATTTGAACCATTTTATTTCATATTTTCGTCCACCTACGACTCGGACCGATTGAAATGAGCACGGAATAGTGTTACCATCCATCCGAATAGTCCGGGAATCGACTCGCCGTCCGAGGATATCGTGCGCAACCTGTCGACCTTTTTTTTTTTTTCTTTTTGCTTGTACGATTTATTAGTATATATATACACCTCCAATATTCAATACAGCTAAGTCACTTGCGTTACTCCTATCCAAGTCTCTCTAGTCGCTAACTGTAACTAATTTAGAACCAGCATGCACTGCACATTATTCTTCGCATTGCAAAATGACATACGCATGCGTCAGGAACTTCTATTCGAACAAACCTTTCCTACCGTCCGGATCAGCGATTTTAATAAGATGGCAACACTAGCACGGAATTTTTCATTACTTATTCTGTGACGAAACTGAATTTTAGTCTTTTAAACTGAGATACCTAAATAAGGGGGGGCGAAATTTTCCTCCGCCCGGGCGGCTGACACCCACGCTACGCCACAGGGGCGGAAAGAGTTAAAAAAAACACTATGTAAGATATCTATGTTGACAGAAGTCATAACAGCTCTTATTCTGTTTTTTAGCTCATCTATATCACGAACTAAAGGGGAATGGAAATTCTTTCCCACAAGAAAAAATCGCATGAGATCATGCCTGGAGATCTTGGAGGCCAAGAATGTAGGGCATGTGTGTTTGTCTTGGGGTCCCGTGCGTTGAGGTAGTGTGTCATTGAGAAATTTCATATGTTGTGCCAGTGTGGGTGCTCTGTCCTGTTGGAATATAAAATCATTAGAGTCCTCTTTAAGTTGTAGAAAAAGCTAAGTCTGCAGCATTTAGCTATCATCCCGATGTTGTCCGTGTAGCTACTGGTGGACACACAGAGTATTTGTAATAACATAGCTGTAATTTTAAGAGTTTGTGAGTATTTTGCATTTTGTCCCTGTTTTGTAGTATGTTTCTATTAATAAATATAAAGTTTTAAAATCAGTAATTATTGCCATCTTGTATAACTAATTCTTTGTTTATCATCGGCCATCATTTACTCTCTCTGATTTCATTCTATATGCATCAATTTGGCTATTTTTGGTAGATAATCTACGTGTATTGCAGAAACTAAAAAATCCAAAGAATTTGTCAAATTTAATTAATTTATTTACAGATTACAAGTGGTATTTTGTTACTAACATTATTGAATGGTTCGCATTGCTAATATTTAGCTTTCTTTTGTACGTTGCACTCGAACTGGTATGTATAGTTATGTGTTTGTCTTGTATATTTATAAATTTAATATTAATGAAAACTTGAATAATATTGAATTTTTCAAAATTTTAAACTTGAATTTCATTGATCAACGCGAGGCATAGCCTTATAAGTTGTATGGCTGTTGCAGTTACATGACAGTCCATACAAGTCGAATAGAGTCTATGGGGGGTTGATAATCATCTCGCCCTCCGTTGTAGATAAATTTCACTGAATATCTGGCAGAGTCTCACAGCACAAAATAGAAAATAAATTGTATTTTTTTCGGAATTAAAAAAAAATACTTTAGTATAAAGAAGTGGCATGAGGGAAAATTGGGGAGGAAAGTCAGTCTTCTTGACTGGCACTTCGTATGAACTATAGGTATCAGCAGGGCCGACCCGTTCATATAGGCGAACTAGGCGATGGCCTAGGGAGCTTGAATTCGAGGGGAGGCATGGCGAAAGTACATGCATAAATTACAATAAATAATGAAAAAATAAATGTTTTTTGATCATAATCCTTTCTCACGTGTTGACCCGTGAGTCGCTATTTTGAAAGTAGCGCCATAGTCTCACGATCGCGATATTACGTGCTGCGTGTTGAATAAAAACAATATAACAATATAAAACACCAATGTAAAATAGATACTCTATTTTTCATTGGTGTTTTATATTGTTGCGATTTTTTTTTTAAATGGGGCAACGTCAAAGTCATTTGCCTAGAGCGCTGACTTTGCTCCGGCCGGTAATGGGTATCAGCCATAGAAATCAGTCGGAAAAATCAGCTTCCATGTCCCAATGATAAGGTTCTGGGCCGACCCACAATGGGGTCAAGCAGCATGAATAAGAAATAAGGAGTAATGTCCCAACTCACATTACCCATAAATTATGGTATGTGGATCGGATTTGAATCCGAATCACCAAAATAAACGAAACAATAGATTTATTAATATNAATTCATGCTGCTTGTTGTATCTGTCAAAAGCTAATGTTACAATTATTATTGTAGTCTATTATATTATTTAAAAAAAACCTCGATATAGCGTTTCTTCTTAATGCTACGACAATACTTGTAAACGGATCTTCCTCACAAATATCAAATAGAGAACGCTTCAGTATTTGTAAATTATTAAATGTATAATTTACAAATGACATTGTCATTATCATTGTCATTACAAATGACGTTGTCATCATCATATAACGTTACTGTCAAGCTCCTAAACACGAACATACGTTTAGTCCTCATAACTATGTGTCCATTCTATTATTTTAGGTTTTTCGTTTTAGCGCCGGAATTTCAGAAGGAACGAATAATGACGCTAAATCGAAGTTTTACTGTATATGCTTGATTATTTAGCATCGAGATGAAATAAGTTGAAAGAATTCCTCAAATTGCTGTTATACAAATTGAGCAAGAATATAGCAGTACTTACATCAGGACTCTGTTATATAAAAATTACAAGTTACAAGGCTTTTTGATGGCACACGCTGGTGTGCCACCAAAAAACAATCAGTTTTTCATCTTTTAAAATTTAACTTGTAAACATTTATATCGAAATACAATGCAAAACTAAATATAATAGACGCACATATACAGTTAAATCTCGATATAGCGATCTCCCGAATAGCGTCACCCACGTAAAGCGCCAATGTAAGAGGATCCTCTCCATAAATATTAACACAAGAATCCCTATATGAAAAGTACTAAATTTCCAATTTTGCCTTGCAAATGACGTTGTTATAAACTGTCAATTTCTTTTTTGAAGTTCTTCGGTTTAGCGTTACACTCGGTTTAACGTCAATTTCGAATTACTTTCTCTAATTACTTAGTTAAAAATTATATTATACGGTAAATTATTGAGTGTAGTTGTTTATTTTATGATATTTTATATGATTTTGTAGGGATCGAATTCTTTTGATTCTAAGCAAAACGAAGGCTCAAGGGTTTAATTTGAGCAGCTTATTCTTTGACGAAAGGGAAGGAGATGCTTATCCAAATTTATCACAGTTGCCAAATATGCCTTACGATCAACCCACTTCGGTTCATCACGATTTTATCGTTCCACAATATTCTCATTCCACTTGGAGTAAGAAGTCCCAGTAAGTATGAAATTCCTATTGGTTTATGCTAACAGATGATTTATTCCTGATAAACTAATAAATAACAAAGTAAGTCTAGAGATTCCAGAAATTTAGAAAAATCACCTGGGCCATTCAGATTCGATCTTATATTCTAGTTGTTTGTGAATGGCAACGCGATACGTGGGCGATCCGTCGAGATGATATGAAAAACTGGCTCCCATTTAGGTATTCCTAACGTAAAGAAAACTCTAAAAACTCCACGTGGCCAGCCCCCAAACCCGTAATCAACTACAAGTATTCAGTGGTTTTATTCATTCGGCCATTGATGGGTCGATATTGTAGTTATCGAAGTTATTTTATAAAGTGGGAATAAGAAACAAAAATGTGATTAACACGAGGAAATTGAAGCAGATAAAACTGTTCATTCTGGGTACTTGAACTCTTCTATAATCTTGAAGAACTGACATTGAAAGAGAAATTATTTATTGTGACATCGTCACAATGCCGAGCTGCAATTTTTAATCATATTTCTAATTTATTTAATTTAAAGTATACGCTCTCTATCTCAAATTAGTAGTGGCTTTCCCCTGTACATCATACTTTTCCTTTAACAATAAAGTAGTGTCGGTCATCTAACATCTTTCGGGGGTAAAATTTTTGAATTGAAGTAACATGACTTCTGATCTATATCGGAAGTTTGCATATAGTTAATCGGGGCTTCTTTCCTCTAAGCTTTCTATGTATATCTCACCTTTCATTTATTTAACTCCGTTCTCGAAATTAATTAAGGAAAGACAGACAAACAGACGAACAGTGGGAATTTACAGGTCTAGTTTTTTCAAATTGTAGCCCAATTATTTGTGTTTATTTTACGTTTAAAGTTTGGACATGAAATAGTAAATCAAGCTACCTTATGTGTATCTGAAGCCATTTTGTCTTTTAAACGAGGGGAAAATTACGAACGAATCTGTTAATGTATAAAAAGCCCAAAATAATTATCTTTTTATACATAAAAAAGAAAAAAAGTTCTATTTATTAGCTAGCTTATCTGTCTTCTTATAGTGCTGGGATGGTGACGTACATTGATACATTCACTCGATCCTATTTACATACTTATAGTTAACATATATTTAACTCTAGCAATCTTCTTTCCATGTCATGTCATCACCCTCACATTTTTTTTCCGGTGACAATTTCAAGTGGGAGATCATTCTTTTAACTTCCCTTCGGAAGTCTCCAGCCAGATATCATTTCCGGGTTGATGACGCATTCGATTTGTCACGATAAAATGCACTAATAGATGCAAAAAGAAATTTATAATATAAAAATAATGTAAATCAAATTATCTTATTTTCGTGTGAACACACGAAAGAACACCGCAGAAATTTATAGAACGAAAATGAAACCTTCTCATAATCTGTACCACCGTGTAATTTAAGTCTATGAGATTATCTGTTACTTCATAGGCGTGAATTCTTAATTGCGATTGAGGAGTTTTATGGAATAAAGTATCTGAGTGTACATAGCTACCTTTTTTCAGTTATGGTTTTATGGATACGGATATTTCCCTCGCTATAATAAGCACTCTATTCAAACATATTTAACATTTACACTTTATTCACTTCATAGCAAACCACATGCAAAAAGAACAGTTTTTTGAAATTTTTGAAAACATCAAAATTTAACTTAGGTGCCGTTTTCTAGGGAACTCTTTAATTTACAATTGGCATATAACACTCTCTCCCTTTTAATTGTTTTTATAAATACAAACAACCCGCGGGTTATACTCAGGAAAATGCAATAATGCTAGTAACATCTTTCAAAAAGAGATGGCACTTATAATTGATTGTTTGAACGCCATTTTATTTTCAAGACATCGCGGATTAAATTTTAACGCTTTGTAGCGCGTAAGATGTTTCACTGTTTTGAAATTTTGAATTTTTCTGGTATTATATATAACATTCAGCCTTACTCATTATACAATAAGAAATTTTAATACAATAATGAAATTTCCGAGATCAAATTTGACGGATTTTGTCCACGTGTCTAACACCTAAACAGGGATCAGTTCCCACTGAAAGTCCTACTGAAAGACAATTTCCTTGCCAGAATGCCTATGTCTTGTCTTTCTTATTTCATCACTCCACTCTGCATCACATTTGGCTTAGGTTCGTGTAAATTCTTAGATTTAAACCAGAAAGAAAAAAGAAACTTAAGATTTCTAATAATTTATATTATACAGTACTTCATATATTTAATATAAATTGCTATAACATAAGATATGATCTTCTTTTTATAGTAGCGTAGGGAAGAGGAGTGAAAATTCAGAACCAGCGTGTGCTACCAGATCCGAATTTGTCTTTCCTAGAGCAGCTCTAAACGATAAGTCTCAATGGAAGTATGTGATTAATCTTCCGAATCGAAATCCTAATTATAAACAGATCGTTCGAATAGAACTTTGTGCGTAAGTATCTTCATGTTTCATGTGATAATTGATTGCTTTTATTAACTTAAAAATGGTTAAAGTTATATGTTTATCAAATTTTATATATACTAATTAAAAAATTTAAATAAATAATAAGATCTAAGAAACAAAATACCTCGCATTCTTGCTAATCCGAACTAATTTTGTTCACTCTTCCACTAAGTGTTCAATCTAAAAATAAGTGGATATCATCAATTAGTTTTTAAAAACGTAAAAGTTTTTTGCAAAATTAATGGGTACTGCACACTTTAACATAATATATATGTACCAAATACGATATAAAATTTTTATTTTTAAAATACAGTCAAACGGCGGCCATTTTTTCAGGAACGTTGAGCATATAAATGCATACAAAACCTCCAAGCAACGGCCATGTTTCTGTTAGTCGCCGTTGTTCAGAGATTTGACTGTATATAACCTTTATCTTTTTGAATTCTTCTTCATTTCCTTTTCCTTATAGTCTATAGAACCTTGCTCCCTTTTTACTTTTCCGGCTGTTTATATATAACAGAGGGAAAGTATGGCGATGGTCAAAAAATGACCCCCCCAAGAATTTTACATTTCAGGACTCGGGTGATCTTGAAATGTCGAGAAATGCAAAAAATCCAAGGGTTTATTCTGTATGTATAAATTTAGTGTGTGTGAGCATGGGGAGCGATTCTGTTTGCCCTGTTTGAAGCTTAATAACTCCTGTGCTTTTTCACAAAATTTTCTGAAATTTTTCTGGAAGGTTTCTTTATTACAGGGATTGATGCTCTTAAATTTTGGTGATTAAAGGTCGAGTGGTGGGGAGATAAACGCGGTAGGATGCGACTTAATGACGATTTTACTTGTTATTAGCATTTCCAATGTTTTATAAAACCCACCCATATCCTGAAAATTAAGCTTTTGCCATTTTATAATAGTTAAAAATATAAAAGTTTTTAAAAGAAAATATGATAACAGATGGCGCTACCAAAATTTTAAATATTGCCGGGAAAGTTAAGCAACTCGTTGCTGTATTAATGAGAAATGTAATTTTATTGTATTATTTTTTTAATTTCATTTTTGTTTATTTTAAAATTAAATTATATAATAAAATTTTCGATAAATAAATCGAATGATATTTATTTATGTGTTTCAGGTATCCTGGAAGTTCTTGTTCTTCACAACTTTCATTTCCGTTTGGATACGAAAGCCGGTGCGTTCAAAAACACATTAAAAAGAAGCTTCTATCATTAGATTCTACTGGTGAGACTATCTCAGAAGATCCTTTCTTCGTTCCTTCTTGCTGTGTCTGTCAATTGGTGCGCAATTTCAAGAGATAAAGTGAACTTTCCGAACTTACTCAACGAATTACAGGAGGACTTGAAAAGAACACGGTTTATATTTTTAATCTAGTGAAATATTACCTAGAATTTTTTTAGGTAGAAGAAGGAAAGCTGTCAAAAATATTAATATAAAAACTGTTTATGACAAGCTGTTCAATGAACAGCTTTTTTACTTTCATTTAACAGAGAGGATTAGAACTGAACAAATGATTGGCATTTATTTACTTTATTATTTAATTAAGAACATTGATTTATTTACATTTATTTACTTTAGAATATTATAATATTCAATTTATTTTATATAAAATCACTATTTACTTGAAGTACCGCAGGAAGATTCCAATCTAGAAAAAAATCCATACAGTTAGATAGGGGTTTTTCATAAATTTTTGCCAAAATTACAGAAAATATTCTGAAAAATTGTGTATTATTAATAATAAAAACAAAACACGTGGGAATTATTATGAAATATTTATTATATAACCTGATATAACGATTTTTTTCTTGAAAAATTTCGATAATTCTGAACGCGATAATCGGATATCATGGACATAATGTATGTGAACTTTGACTGTGATGTTTTCTAAATATCACTTCTACATGTAAATATTATATTGATAATTATTTAAAAATTAGTCAAGTTTATTAACATGATTACTGTATAAATTTCATTAAAAATTTGAAGTAAATATATGGAATCTTTACTAATAAATTTCTGATCTAATGTCGTTTCTTACAAGAGTATCTTCAATACTTAAATAATTAGAATAAAACTTCTTTATACTGTAAATTTGCTACTGCCATATGCCATTAATAAGTAACAAAATACACAGTGGTTCGAAACTTAGTTAACAGTAAGTTCTAAGGAAAGCTTAGAACTTAGCCCCATTAATTTTTATATTTCGGATAATTTGTAAAGAAGACTCGCTTCAAGTAGATGTTTTAATGAAATTATTTCTTCAATACCAAAGAATTAAAAAAATATTTTGCAAAAACTTTTGCATTTTTTAATATTATAAATTCTTAGATGATCTTTGTACGAATCTGTAAGTCTTTTTAATTTGAAACTTTCTGCCGATTTTAGTATTTGCAAAAACATTCTTTTTCATCTGTCCATTGTTTATCATTGAAGTTAAGATTCATCTCTGTCAAACATTTTTAATTCTTCCTTTCAATGTAAACAAACCATGTGTTATAAAAAAGTTTTATGTTAGAATAGTTTTTCAAAAAGTTTTAAAGTGCTGAGTGTTACGTTTCTTAACCCATTACATATGGGATAAGGAAACGTAACACTTGAGCGATCTGCCAAGGACTCTTGGAAGGACTTTTATTGGAAACTGGCTTCTATTTAGGTGTTAGACATGTGAAGAAAGTCCAGATAACTCCACATAACCAGCCTGTTGGTTAGGTGCGAACCCGCCACCAACCAGTATTCAGCGATTTTATCCACTGGCTCACCTGGTGGCAAGTGGATAAAATGTAGCACCAATGGGTTTGCAAGATGCTGATTACGAAATATATAACTAATAATTTTCAAGGCATTTTTCACCAGTGACTGTGTGAATAAAACCACTAAACACTGACCCCACCAATGGCCAGGCGGTGTTCGTTTCCTGAACACTGGGAGTTCCGTCGTGGGTTGGCGCCTCTCCAACCGACTGGCCACGTGGAGTTTTCCGTGTTTTCTTCACATTAGTAACACCTAAATAGTAGCCAGATTCCGACAGAACCCCCAACAGATTGCTCACGTGTCGTATTGTCGTAACCAAATAAACCACCATAATTGTGGCACGATTTCTTATGCATTTTTGAAAATAAATTATCACGTAACAAATATCGATAATAAATTTTACAATTCTTGAAATTTCTCAACAAATAATTACAATAAACGGTTATTTTTACTAAGTTTCATTGATTTGTTCTTAGAAAATCATTCCAGAATACTAATTTTTCCTATCTGAATAAGATATTAATAAATATATAAAATGTGTATTCGCGTTTCAAGTTTCCTATGTTTTGATAACAGTGAAGAAGCAACTTGCTACTCAGCGTTTATAATTGGAGTAGGTAACCGTTAATTAATGTTTTCTTTTTATTTTCCGAACAGAAAAATAATATTTTAATGCAAACTATGTGACATTTAACATAATTATATATGACTTTTTAATGACTTTCAGCTTTACTCTGTTGTCATGATCTTGGATTTGGTAACATCCAATAATCTTGCGCTTGTGGAAATATATTCTGAAGATACACGTTAGTAAATTGTTTGTAGAGTTTAAATAGTAATTACATAATTTTAATCTATATTAAATTTGGGAAATGTTTCTAATACAATAACGTTAAATAAATTATATGATTCATAGAGATCGAAGTTCCGAGATAAATACAGAATTATATTCTTTATCAGTAGTAGAATGATGTTAAGAATCGATTTTAGTGTTTGTCAGGTTACATCAATGATATAATGGGTGTTTTCAATGTATAAAGTGGCCTTTTGAAAGTGTACATTCTGCACCAAAATTTTCTGCACTGATTTAATTAACCATGAATTAGCTGACTTCATCTTCTGATTACCGTATTTCTGTTTCGGCATTGTTATTTTAGAAGTTTTGAAGTTTAATGGTAACAATTCGAAGAACTTTCTCATTGTTCGAGAACGAGATAACGATTTAGCTTGATGGAATACGGCAATGCAATACGTGGGCAATTTGACATGTGGAGTGCCTTCTGAGAGGATTTTCCACGGGGAAACTGTCTCCTATTTAGGTGTTACAAAAGTGAAGAATCCCAGAAAACTCCCACATTAGTCAAGAGTGAACCCACAACCAATTCAGAGATTTTATCCACTCGACCACTTCAAGATAATGGCACTTGCATGATAATGGTCTGGTTCGTTAGTATACAAAAAGTGCCACGGTATTTAATCGCTTGATTATTTTACCTTTTGACTATATTTGTTTTGTAAAGAAAAATTGCAAATGAAAAACACGTTTAATAACATTGAAGACATTCAAAATCTCGACTGACTTCTCAGAGCTCTCCTTGAAAAAGGTTTTCAGTAATACTTTAAAAATACAGGGTGTATCAAAAAGAATGACCTGATTTTAAAACTTTATATTTATTGATAGAAACATACTACAAAACAGGGACAAAATGCAAAATACTCACAAAATCTTAAAGTTTCAGCTATGTTATTACAAATACTCTATGTGTCCACCAGTAGCCGTACGGACAACATCTAGACAATAGCTAAATTCGTCATACACTCTATGTTTAGCGGCCGGATGGCCGAGCGGTCAAGGTAGCAGCCTACCGCTCTGGAGGACCCGGGCTCGAATTCGAATGGGTCGAATAATCCCCAGGAATTTTTCGGGGTGGTCTGTTCGGATATGTCGGACACCGTCCCTCACCACTCGACAGCCCCATTGTAAGCCTGGCCGAACCCATAATGGGCTTGCAAAAAGAGGCTCTCTTAGTGCCCACAGGGCGGAACACTAGCGTAGCGTAGTAGGGGCGGCCCGCCCGGGCGTCACTTTTTAGGGGGCGGCAAAATTCCACAATAAATAATAATAATATCTCGTAAGAATTTGAACCATTTTATTTCATATTTTCGTCCACCTACGACTCGGACCGATTGAAATGAGCACGGAATAGTGTTACCATCCATCCGAATAGTCCGGGAATCGACTCGCCGTCCGAGGATATCGTGCGCAACCTGTCGACCTTTTTTTTTTTTCTTTTTGCTTGTACGATTTATTAGTATATATATACACCTCCAATATTCAATACAGCTAAGTCACTTGCGTTACTCCTATCCAAGTCTCTCTAGTCGCTAACTGTAACTAATTTAGAACCAGCATGCACTGCACATTATTCTTCGCATTGCAAAATGACATACGCATGCGTCAGGAACTTCTATTCGAACAAACCTTTCCTACCGTCCGGATCAGCGATTTTAATAAGATGGCAACACTAGCACGGAATTTTTCATTACTTATTCTGTGACGAAACTGAATTTTAGTCTTTTAAACTGAGATACCTAAATAAGGGGGGGCGAAATTTTCCTCCGTCCGGGCGGCTGACACCCACGCTACGCCACAGGGGCGGAAAGAGTTAAAAAAAACACTATGTAAGATATCTATGTTGACAGAAGTCATAACAGCTCTTATTCTGTTTTTTAGCTCATCTATATCACGAACTAAAGGGGAATGGAAATTCTTTCCCACAAGAAAAAATCGCATGAGATCATGCCTGGAGATCTTGGAGGCCAAGAATGTAGGGCATGTGTGTTTGTCTTGGGGTCCCGTGCGTTGAGGTAGTGTGTCATTGAGAAATTTCATATGTTGTGCCAGTGTGGGTGCTCTGTCCTGTTGGAATATAAAATCATTAGAGTCCTCTTTAAGTTGTAGAAAAAGCTAAGTCTGCAGCATTTAGCTATCATCCCGATGTTGTCCGTGTAGCTACTGGTGGACACACAGAGTATTTGTAATAACATAGCTGTAATTTTAAGAGTTTGTGAGTATTTTGCATTTTGTCCCTGTTTTGTAGTATGTTTCTATTAATAAATATAAAGTTTTAAAATCAGTAATTATTGCCATCTTGTATAACTAATTCTTTGTTTATCATCGGCCATCATTTACTCTCTCTGATTTCATTCTATATGCATCAATTTGGCTATTTTTGGTAGATAATCTACGTGTATTGCAGAAACTAAAAAATCCAAAGAATTTGTTAAATTTAATTAATTTATTTACAGATTACAAGTGGTATTTTGTTACTAACATTATTGAATGGTTCGCATTGCTAATATTTAGCTTTCTTTTGTACGTTGCACTCGAACTGGTATGTATAGTTATGTGTTTGTCTTGTATATTTATAAATTTAATATTAATGAAAACTTGAATAATATTGAATTTTTCAAAATTTTAAACTTGAATTTCATTGATCAACGCGAGGCATAGCCTTATAAGTTGTATGGCTGTTGCAATTACATGACAGTCCATACAAGTCGAATAGAGTCTATGGCGGGTTGATAGTCATCTCGCCCTCCGTTGTAGATAAATTTCACTGAATATCTGGCAGAGTCTCACAGCACAAAATAGAAAATAAATTGTATTTTTTTCGGAATTAAAAAAAAATACTTTAGTATAAAGAAGTGGCATGAGGGAAAATTGGGGAGGAAAGTCAGTCTTCTTGACTGGCACTTCGTATGAACTATAGGTATCAGCAGGGCCGACCCGTTCATATAGGCGAACTAGGCGATGGCCTAGGGAGCTTGAATTCGAGGGGAGGCATGGCGAAAGTACATGCATAAATTACAATAAATAATGAAAAAATAAATGTTTTTTGATCATAATCCTTTCTCACGTGTTGACCCGTGAGTCGCTATTTTCTTTCACACGATCGCGATATTACGTGCTGCATGTTGAATAAAAACAATATAACAATATAAAACACCAATGTAAAATAGATACTCTATTTTTCATTGGTGTTTTATATTGTTGCGATTTTTTTTTTAAATGGGGCAACGTCAAAGTCATTTGCCTAGAGCGCTGACTTTGCTCCGGCCGGTAATGGGTATCAGCCATAGAAATCAGTCGGAAAAATCAGCTTCCATATCC